AGGTAAGGAACGCACTGGACCCTGGTTTAAAAACAAAACATCATTTAGGTGGCATGACTTTTGTGATGACCCTCAAACATTGAAACTTGGTCAGAGTTAAGTGTAGGAGCTGGGGCTCTGGCTAGCTGTGGTCTTGGACCATCACAGAAATAATTCTGAGATGTTACCTGAAATTTTCTTTCCCATACCAAGGTAGCTAAACTGTGACTTTGTATTCCCATGTGGAGACATGGGCAGGGACATTTTTAGACATTCTGAATGGATGAATGTCCAACTTTTCCACTCTAGAAATACAGAAAAGGAATAAGTCTTGGTATATATTAATTCTTTGTTTTTATAGGTTTCTTTCTTAGTTGGGTTTTTATTGCTGTGAAGAGACACCATGACCATGGTAACACTTACAAATTGGGGGTGGGTCTCTTAACAGTTTCAGAGGTCCGGTCCATTGTGATCATGAAGGTGACATACAGGCAGACGTGGAGCTGGCTACATCTTGACAAAAAGGCGTCAGGAAGTTGACTCACACACTGGGTGATATCCTGAGCATATGAAAGTTCAGAGACTACCCCCACAGTGACACACTTCCTCCAGCTAGATCACACACCACCTAACAGTCCCCACTCCCTTCGGGGGCTATTTTCTTCCAAACCAACACATTCTATTCCCTGACCCCCAAAAGCTTTTATGCAGTCTCTTAACTATAATCCCCTATACAATCAAAAAGCAGATCACATACGTCCAACATATGCACAGGATATACGTCACCATTCCAGAATGTAGGGAAAGGAGCATAGTGAAGAAATACTCAAAACAAAGCAAGACTGAAAACCAGCTGGGCAAACTCCATGTCTGATGTCAAAAGACTCTCATCTCCATTAACCCCATTCAGCTTTGTTGACTGCAACACACTTCTTTCTCTTGGTCTGTTTCCATTCCCTGTTAGCAGCTCTCCTCAGCAGGTGTCCCATGACTGGTATCTGTAACAGGTTCCATCTTCACACAATGGTATCTCTGGGCCTCCATACAGGGACAACCCTGACATGTGCCTGGCCTCAGCGGCTTTATTCCAAAACTCCTTTATTTTATCCTTAGCTCTAAAGCCAGAATCTTGTTCTGAACTGCCAAGTTCTGCTGCTTACTGGGGCTGGGACATGCCCTGTTCCCCTTTCAGTTACATTTTCACCAGCTTTCTGAAACTGTAGATCCGCCTGCTTCTGCTTCTCAAGTGCTGGGATTAAGGTGTGCCCCACCATACCTGACTCTAAGCTTTTCTTCAGTTCCTTTTCACAAGTTGGAGACTTAGCTGGGTGGGATCTTACCCCGAGGTCACTACTGTCTTTATTCCATTTAATTCACTTATCTCCTTTAACAGAGGATTTAGCTCCATTCCACTTCCTGGTACCCTTTTTCTCCTCAAAATTTACATTTTGTAATTTATCCTGCTCAGCTTGCACTTTTTCATTATAAACCTTCATTAGACTTACCACTAAAAAACCACACAACAATGTCTATACTAGGCTGTTTTGAAATTTCTTCTGTCATGGGAATTAATCCAAAACTTCACTTTAGTCTCAGGCAGACTCTTCAGAGAAGGATGAAAGGTAGCCACTGTCTTCACCAAAATATCACAAGAGCGATTTCAAGGCAACAGACTAAAATTCTACACTGAAACCTTTTGAGCCAGCTCCCAACATTTCAAATCTTCAGCACCACTGTCTTCCATGCGCCTACCAGTCTGCCTCATTAAGCAGGGCTTAAAGCATTCCACTGCTTCCCAAAGCACCATGGTCCAAATTCCTCCAGACATACACAGCTATACCTCGGTCCCTGGGACCAGCTTCTGTCTTAGTTTGGGTTTCTAATTTGCTGTAAAGAGACATAGTTCAGTCCTTTATAGTCACGAAGGGAGCATGGCAGCATGCAGGCAGACGTGAAGCTGGCTCTATCTTGACCAGAAGGCAGCAGGAAGTTGACTCTGTTTTGATCTACAAAGTTTTTGTGGGCTTTTTTGTTTTTTTGGAGACAGGGACTCTCTACATAGCCCTGGCTATCCTGCCTCTGCAGTGCTGGCTCAGAGGCATGTGAAAGCATGCTCGGCTTATAAATTCTTGAATTAAGACTATCTTAAGATCTTAAGGTTTTAAGTAAGACCTTAATTCATAAATTCTAGAATATGGTTGACTGTATATGGGGCGAGCTCTCCATTCTTGAGTATGGAAAGGATTTTGTTCAGTACCCTCAACTTTAAAAAACATGGGTGTAAGATTAAATTTAAAATTCAGACTACAGAGATATTAGCAAGACATCAACAAATATAGTATGGTTTTTACCTAACAATTACAGTTTTACTTCATTAAATTCTGTTATGTTTCATTAGGACTCTCAGATTGCAGACATACTCTCAACATCTGGGACTGTAGTTACCATTACAATCATGCCTGCTTTTATCTTTGAACATATTATTAAACGGTAAGTGGACAGCTCTATTTTACACTTGTGGTCACCTGACATAAATGTAAATGCTATAGTCAGTCTGCAGTTCTGCTATAGTCATATATAGTTACATATATTATAGTCATATAGTCATGACAGGGATTTCTTGGCTGTGAGATAATTCTTTCCCGTGTCTCTCAGGAGGCAGAGAGGTGCATGGTGCTTGCTCTCTGTCCTCTGGGACTAAGTATATACAGTCCATGAGAGTTAATAAGGGCAAGCAAGGGTGATCTGTCCAGAGCTTTCCGACTCTCTGTATAGTTACCACGATGTCTTGGAAACCTTTCATTCAAAGTCCTTATATAGCATGTGAAAGAGAGATTTGGAAGATATATAAGCATAACCATTGTAATGAAATCTTGATCTATTCGGGAAGAATGCAGCTAGCTACTCTTGAAATAGACTTGTCTTTTTAACTATTGGTAGGTCCCTTCTCCCCCTTTTCTTCTGACTCATCATAGCCTTTTTTGCTATTTTATTTTAATTAAACTGCCAGTCTTAACATAAAGGACTCGCACCTTCTTTAGCATGTCTACCCTGGTGCGGACAGTCTCCGACAACTCAGTTATCAGTTCCTTAGCTCTGAGCTCATTTAAGGACCTTTTCCTTCTCCCCCAGACTCATTGATAGCAACAGTGCTAAACTGGAATTGGGGTTGTCTTGGATTAACATGGCATTCTTGACATAAGTCATGTGTTACATGATTGGCTCTCTTGTAGGATGGCACCAAGCATTATGAAAAGCCTGATGGATCACACCATTCCCGAAGTTTAATAACCCTGTACAACACATCACAGCTGAATGTTTCTAGTTTTCTTCTTCGGCAACTTCTAGATTTTGCATATGAAGCTTTCCCGAAGCCAGGGAGAATATGCTGCATGGGGACCTACCTGTCTATCTTCCATCATGGCTGGGAACCTCACGCTATCTGACGTCTTCTTCAGAGTTAAGATAGGTGTAGCCTTATCCTGGTTTTACAGATGTGAAACTTCCTGAATTTCCTAGAATTGTTTCTTTACTGGAAACCTGATGTTTTTATAAGCCATTGTGGTTGGGATGACTGGTGTAGACTTAGCTGTGGGAACTGGTCACCTTTGTCCTAGATAAAGCACAGTGCTAGTCATGTGCTTCAGTTCTGTGGCGCACTTGGACTTTAGGACATCAGCATATAGTACATTGAGGATGACTGCCTTTGATCGTTACTTTTTTTCTCTGTATGAGTGTGTAAAATTCCAGTTAATCAACACTGGTTTCATTCCACAAAAGCATTATACAGTGTGTGTAGTTTGCAAAAGACTTTATGATTGTCACTAAATTTTAACTACCTTCACTTAATGCGCTTCAACTGCCGCCTTAACTACAGTAAGCATTTAGAATAAAAGCCAAAATAGAATTCTTGCTGCCTTCTGAGACCTGAGATGTTAGCTCTCTATTAAACTGGTATCCGCCAGCCCCTAGCAGCTTAAGGCAAAGCAGAGCTGCCTAGTTGTGGAAGAGTTTTCTAGTCGCTGCATAAAGGAAACGCCTACAAGTTGCTGTATTGCTTTCTGAAAAACAGATCGCTATATATTTCATGTAAAAGTAGTTATATAAACAGAACAAATTCTGGAGTCTCCTTTTCACTTGTGGATTAAGTGGGCAATACTTAGTTTGGTGTTTGAATCCTAACATTATGTAACTTAGCTACTTTGGGTAGTCTTAGACTGCTTCCCTAGCCATTTTAATTTGTTGTATCTTCTGACTCCGTCCTCTAAACAGAAATGGCAATGACACTTTATCTTGATTTTTTTCTTTTTGTTTTTTGCCTATCCTAGTATTTTATCTGATTATTATCCTATTAAATGTATAAAAATGGTAAGTCTTAGTCTGTGTTATTTCTTCAGTCCTCTCACATCCAGTCTCTGAGAGCAGTCCTAGAGCTAAGTCTATGTCTGGAAATACACTTGCTCGAGACCCCTAGATGGCCAGGCTTGTGGCCCCCGTTCACCCTGTACCCTAGTTGTGGGTGATGAGGGAACCTGGTGAGGCTTCTGCATCGCCAGTGAAACCAGAGACCACCAACATGTATTCAGTGATGCTTAAAACTGACTTTAAGTCTCTAGACTATAACAGTACTCTCAACAGTTTAGAAAATTTGTGATCATATGTTCGCTGTTCAGAGATGAAATAAAAAGAAAATCATTGCTATGGCTATATAACTTACCTTGTTGGACACTGACATTCCCCAGTTTATCAACCTTGTGTTCTGGACTCGGTCCTGATAAGCCCAAAAGAAATGAAACAAATTATATTTGTTACTAAGTACAGTTTTGTAGGAGTAATACTTACGACTTATTTATTTATGTTTTTTGAGACAGGGTTTCTGTGTGGCTTTGGAGCCTGTCCTGGAACTAGCTCTTGTAGACCAGGCTGTTCTCGAACACACAGAGAGCCACCTTTCTCTGCCTCCTGAGTGCTGGGATTAAAGGCGTGAGCCACCACCGCTTGGCTGTGATTCTTAAACTGTTTAAGAAAAGGAAGAGTGCTTTCATTACAGAAAAAAATTTAATGTAGAAAAGATGAACATTTAGTAGCGTAATGAAATATAAACCGTTACTATACACAGTATATTCCTCCCCCAGATTCTTAGAATCTGAGCGCACAGCACTGCAGAGGGCAGCAATCCATGAAAACACACTGAAGACCCTGGTGACAACTGGGCACTTGGGTCAGAGGCTTCTTTCTCTCGGAGAACTGGGCTGGCCAGTGCTGCCTGCGGTTTCCTCAGTTGGATGGGTAGTTCTTATCCTCTGCCACCGGGTACAGTCTTGTAACCTTCATCACAGGTGACAGTCCTGTCTTCAAAAGAATGTTCTTGCCCCTAACACCGCCATATATTTATCTGCCTTAATGGATGACAACAAATGGCTTTGAATGAAGTCATCATGATTTAGGAAGCTGAAACCACAAATTCTTCATGTAGTTAAAGTACTGTCATTGCACATTCGCCAGTTCACATTAAATAGACGTGAACTCAACAGCGAGGAAAAGGCACTTAATACTGCAGTTTCCAGAACATAATCTGCCTGTCTTCCCCTCCCGTGATGACGCTGCTGCACTGTTCGTTCATCCATATGCATGTCACGGCACCTGCAAGACATTAGTGAGGGTGCATGTGGCCCAGGACAGACACGGGGACGCTTAGAGAGGAAGCAGTCACCGTACCTGTCTTTCTATAATAAAAACTATCTATGAGTTTAAAACACGCACTTCTGCAGAGGACTTGAGAGAAGTGAAACCATTTCAGTATGAGTCTAAAAGCAGAATGATTGATGCCACCACACACCTATAAGAACAGTCAAGAGACCTATGAGAAGGGAAATGGCAGCCGATCTGCAGATTTATGCCTATTCCATTGAAAACACAGCTACATAAGATACATATCTAAGAAGAAATAAAGCATATGAAATGAGAAGAAAAGAGAGTGAAGGTAGGCAGGTCCATGTCACAGTGGGAGGTATAATGGTGAAAACAGCCCTGCAAATGTAAGCAAGGCCTACACTGAGTCTCCCAGAGTCTGCAGCTGAAAGGGGAGAGAGCAGAGAGCTCTACATGATTGTGTGTGTTGTGCAATTCTCTCCACATAATCAGTGAGCATGCCCGTGCCTGGTGAACATCCCCCGAGACTGGAAGGTAGGAATTGTAGCCCGACACCAGAAGGCAGGAAGATGCCTCAGTTTCCATGGCAGTTTATTTTTCCATTGTCTTTTGGTATCAGTTGTACAGCTTTGCCATGGTTTTTATTCTCTAAATGGTAGTAAAGATTTTTTTTCAGAGGCTAAAATAAATATAAATCTTAAGGAACCTAAAAGACAGCCACTGGCCAGTCAGAACGTACAAGGGGATGTTCTCCCAGAGCGCACATGGGGTCTGCCTGAGTCAGAGACAGTCCCGCTCCTCACCTGTGTGGCCCTGTATCCGCTCACTGATTTTTGCTCCAAGGAGGTCCCAAACAAGCAGCTCACCAGACCGACTTCCAGATAAGACAGAATTTCCATCCCAGACAAAGCACCTGCAAGCATGATCGGGAGACAGTCCACCATAAAGCAAGCACGCGACCCTGGTCAGACATGACCAGATGAATGATCACGAACATACTGCAAATGCCAGCGCTCAGCAGCTGTACCTCTGTGGCTCCTCCGAGGCCATGGATGAGATGAGCATGCCCGTCTGCACATCAATCACGTTTAGACAGCCGTCTACTCCCGTGCTGAGGACGTGGCGACTATCTGTCATAAAGACACAAGGAGCTGCTTCAGAAAGCAGGTCTGATCACTCAGGCTTGGCTTCTGAATCTGCTGCCTACTTCATTTCCTTGAAGTCTGTCTTTATACAGTTTCAATGGTTTGTAAGAATAGTTTTACAGTCAGTCTTTCTTCCTAAGTTTCTTAAAATGGTTACAATAATTATGTTTGTTCCTTCTTTCCCTTCTGTCTCCCAACTCTCCCACTGGAAGCCATTGCCTTTTTGATGTGTATCTCTACTATCAGAAGCATAACAGTTTTGCAAGCTACAGAGGTACTTTTCTGCCTAGGCACACCTACAGGTAGTACAATAGTGTGCCCAGCTGGCAGCGTATGCGGTTACAGGGTCATGCAAAGCCAGACAGTTTTGTCTCTTGTGGCTAGTGTTTTATACATGGTAGGGTCTGGGTTCTCACCAGCTGAACACTACCCCATTTCTGGGGCTAGACCAGGCCTTTCATTTATCCCATAGGCAACAGAACTTGGAATCTTACTCTTAATAGTTGGCTCTGTTTATCCCTTGTTCTTAGAAATGAGGTAAGTGTGGGTTCTGCTTCATTCCTTGTCTTAGACTCTTCACATTAACTAATGTATCATCTATTTAGTAACATTTCTCAAAGACTCTTGTGGTTAAAACCATTCTTTCCATTAAGCACAACAGTTATGCAAATACTGTTAAGCTTCATGACTCGTTCAGGGCAGCTGTATGGTAGCATGGTGAACACTAGGAGAGCAGGTAGCAGACATGCTTCCGGGGTCATGCCTGGAATTATGCAGGGACCTGTCCACAGGTCTTTGACAGAGTCTCTTGTTAGTAAGGAATGTTTTGCTTGTGAAGTTTTAATTTCAGCATTCTAGCTGAGCTGATGTGTTGTGTACTGAAAAGGATAATACTTACCTGGGCTAAAAGCAGCATCACATACTGTCCCTGAATGGCATGAAATCTGGTGTAATAAGGTGGCCGTAGTGAGGTCCCAAATATTCACCATACCTTCTTTGGTGCCAGAAACTAACAGTGTGCTTACAGTATTTAAATTGATGGTATCAACCTAAGAAGAAACAGTGATAAATAAGTGGCTCAGATTCCTCATTAACTGCTTTTTCCAGGCTTCTTAAAATATGCACTACAAGGATTAAAAAGTAAACTACTGTGCAGTAAATAGTTGTGCTGGCACAACTATTATGATTGTATTATATTCTAGTAGTATCTCATCAAATGACCTTTTATTTGAAAGTGAAGTAAAATTCTAAGTACAGTAGGAAAATACAAGTATATGAAATAATATAGGGAGTCGTAGTAAGGCTGTTTTCAAATGGTCTAAAATAGTCTACTGAAAGACTACTGTATCCAGCAAAGGTCTGCTGTGGTTGAAAGAAAAATACTTTCCATGGTTCAAACAGCCTGAAAAAAAATCCAAAAAGAAAAAAACAAAACAAAAAGTATGCTAAACAGATTACTGGGAGCAATACTCTATCTGAGGAGAGGAATAAATGCAGCCAAGTGACTAGAAAGAAAATCAATGAATCCTAATTTAATGATAAGCAACTGAGAACACAAACCAGAAAAACAAAATCAAACTGACTATAATCTACACATCCAAATATTAATGGATTAAAAAAACATTGTTTATTGTCTACAAAAACCCATAAAAAAAAAAGGCACCATTTCCTTAAAATGAAAGGATGGAAAAAGTATTTCAAGGGATGGGATAAAGAAGCACATGGCTTGCCATCCTTAATCTATGACAAAATAGATTTCACACTAAAACTAGTCATGAGACAATAAAGGCAATTCATTACAATCAAGGGATCAAGTAGCCAGGAAACTATCGCAATACATACATATATACACCAAACTCTGATGTGCCCCCGTTTTATTAGAAGCATACTAACAGAATTAAAGACACAGACTAATGCAGTAACAATCATAGTAGACAATTCTAACAACCCACCTTCTCGATAAGATAGGTCATTTGGACAAAAAAAGAAAAAGAGAAACCTCAGAATTAAACATTAGTTTCCCTAACATGGTCCTAACATATCTACAGAATATTTTACCAAAATATCAAATAACTTTCAATCACACATGGGATCTACTCTAAAACAGACATGATGCTGGGACACAGAGCAAACCTTTGAAATAATCCCATGTTTCCTATGTAACCATTATAGTATGCACTCACTCATAAGTGGCTTTTTAGACATAAAGCAAAGAAAAACCGGTCTACAGTCCACAGCCTCAGAACCTAAACAACAAAGAAGACCCTAAGAGAGACGTACATGGAACTCTACAGGAAGGAGAAAAAGACAAGGTCTCCTGAGTCAATTGGGAGCATGGGGTTATAGAAGAGAGTAGAAGGGGAGCGGGGAGGAAGAGAGGGGGATGGAGAAGATGTATAGCATCATAAAAACAATTAAAAAAAAACTTTGAGAAACAAGCAACAATTTTAGAAAAGTGACAGGATAGAAAAATCAACTTACAAAAATAAGTAGCCTTTCTATACATCAAGAAACACGGGCACACTTCCACTTAAAAGAGCATCAACACATCAAATCCTAACCAAGGATTGATCTACAGTGAAAACTTCAAACCTCCGAAGAATGTTTGAGAAAGACTAGAAAATGAAAAGACATCCCATGTGCACAGATCAGTATTGTGAAAATGACCATCTTACCAAAGCAATTTACATACTCAATTCAATTCCATCAAAATATCTACAACATTCTTCACAACAAAAGAAAAAACAAAAAAAACTATGGAATCAGAAAAGACTCCAGGTAGCTAAAGCAATCCTGAGAAAAAATAATAAGGAAGAGACTGTAATTCCAGACTTGTAATAAAACAACATGGTACTGGCACAAAAATAGACACATAGAACAATGCAATAAAGGAGAAGACCCAAATATGAGTCATAACCACTGTCATCTGATTAATTGATATAAAGGCAAAAAACACCCTGGAGAAAAGACGGCATCTTCTATAAATGGTACTGGCAAAATTGGATGTCCACATGCAGAAGAATGAAATTACATCCATATCTATTGCACTGTACAAAAATTAGATCCAGGTGGATCAAAAGCCTCAATTTTAAATCCTATGCGATGCTAAAGCTGCTAGAAGAAAACATAGCAGTACCGGACAAAATGGAAGTGTAATGGAGGACTTTCTAACACAGCTATTTGTCAAGGAATTAAGGCCAGCAATTGACAAGTAGACCTCATAAAAAATAAAAAGACTTTCATACAGCTAAGGAAACAATCCGGTGAAGAAGAAACCCATAGGATGGGAGAGAATCCTGATGGGATTGATATCCTGAATACAGAAGGAACTAAAACAAAATCAAAGAGTCAAGGAAATGAATGACCCAATTGAAAAATGGGCTACGTATCTAAACAGTTCTCAATAGAAGAAATTAAGACAGCTAAAAATACTTCAAAGTGTGTTCATCCTTCTTAGCAATTAGGGAAATGAAAATGAAAACGACTTTGAGATGTCATCTCAGCTAAGTCAACAAAACAACTGACAAGAGAAGCTGAGAGTTTGCTGAGACAAAGGAACCTCCACTCACTGGTGGTGGGAGTGCACATAGGTGCAGCCACTCTGGAGAACCCTCAAAAATCTGAAATGAATCAAACACGTGACCAAGCTCTTTGGCATATGCCCAAAGGACTCAACATCCTATTCCACAGATACTTGCTAAGCCATGTCCACTATCCTATTCACAACAGCCAGGAAACGGAAACAACCCGAATGTCCAACAGAAAATTGATGGTGAAAATGCAGTGCATTGATACACAATGACACTATTCAGCTGTACATGAAAATGAAATTTTCAGGTCAATAGATGGACCTAGAAGAGATTATGCTGAGCACGGAAGCTTAGATGTCACCTATTCGTTATCATCTGCAGCCCCCAGCTCCAAATGTGAATATACAACATGTAGACCAGGAAAGGATAAAGGGACAAGGTGGGAAAATAGCAGGTACAGACGAAACAGGAAATGGATGGACGAGGAGGCTCCAGCTGGGGAGGGGGGCAATACAGAAGAGACGAGGGACAGATAACAACAGAGCTGTTTGATAATGCCTCAAGGAATCATATTACCTATATTGACATTAAACTGTATGCAGCACATAAGTGTATGTGCACATACATGAAGTTAAGCCAACTGGGCTGGCAATGCTCCCAACAGGAATCACATACTAATGAATGCTCAAGTACCGGGCATGAGAAATTGCCTACTGCATGGTCATGGTAGTCCAAATGACTCCCCAAACAATAAAGACTCTTGATAGAGTTCTTGGTGTCTCTCACGGGTTGAAGGTAGGGTAGGCCCTTCTTCCTGAAGACATTATACCTGAGGACACAGAACTTGGATGACTTGAGCTGGATCTGACCTGAAAGCCTCTTTCCTGCCATCTAGCTTCCTTGGGTCCAGAAATTACTATGCAAGTTGCTAAGGGAAGGAAGCAATTAAAGTCTTATCAAGCTGTAACACCTAGGAACCAAGCCAGTTGCCAGCATGGTATGATAGGCACAATAAATGGCCCTCATATATAAGCAGCAACCAACAGTTGTCTAATTGGATTTAAGGCCATTTAACAGGAGGAAAAGCATCCACAGTACATTCCTAAATTAGCCAGCTTCTTGGGACTAGTGAGGTCATGGACTTCAGAAGGTGGTCTTCACTACCACTTTGATATCCACAGATAAGCATAATTCCACTCCTCATAAAAGAAGCCCGTCTTTACAGCAAATAGAGACCAGCACAAAAAACCACAACTGTATCTCACAGTGATTCTGAGATTAACAGATTGTAGGAACCCAGCCCCTCTGGTCACATCTGTGTTACAGTTCCTGAGTCCATGGCTCCAGGACCACAGAGGAAGAGAAGGGCAGCAAGAGTCTAAGAGTCAGATACCAGGAAGGCAGCTGTGAAATGGTCTCTCTCAGAAACAGTGACATAGACCAGACTGCATCAGGGGACATGCTAACGCAGAGAAGGGACGACCTGACAGGCTCTCACAATGAGACGGCTCGGAGGAGGAGAATGAACACATACACATACATATGTGTGTAGATAATAATAAAACCTGTATTAGCAATAAAAAAGAAAAAGGCCTCTACCTGGAGAGTGAAGGCTCCAGTAGGGGCTCAAGGGATGTTAGGGAGGAAATGTAGGCAAGAAGGTGATATAATTCTATTGTAATTAAAAACATATTTTAAAAAGTTAACTCTGAATAATCTATCATACTGAGGCGGCAAACTACTTGAAGCAGGCTGAGCCATGGCTGTATATGGATGCTTTGTGGAATGAAGGATGTCTCCATTTGAATACCATCTTGAATTGCATACTAAAAGTCTTCAACCTCATATCTGAAAACCATGAAAACGCAGCATCAATTCACAGCTGCTGGAAAATGCAGGGCTGGAAACTATAGCCTAAGACATAGCAGCATGACTCAATAAACCACCAGTAACAAGTTCTAGTTTGGCTCTGCTGCTAGGCTGTGCATTCTTGGCCATCCCAGATACCTCTCAGTTTTCTCAGCTTTGGTATAGTTATCTCCAGAACAGATGGTCCCTTCCACATTCTAGGTCAGAAAGCATGAAGATAATGGGTCCCACCTCAGAACTGACATTTTGAAAATTAATTGGGACACAATTCTGCTAATTCTCTCAGGTAAATGTGCCAAGGAACCAACTAGAGGGGGAAGGGACGTGGAATCAAATACCTAACAGGATCACCCAAAGAGCTAGCCTATCATCTCTAATGTGCAAACGAAAGCAAAGGGGAAAACATACACAAATCCAGGTACTTACTGCCCACCCACCCTCTGGACCTAGAGCTTTGCTGTGGGACTCACACTGACATCATGTTCCAGCTCGGCCAGCAAGTCAAACTGGTGTCTTTTAGTGCCTGGCATTTCTGCAGGAACACCGGACCACACCTAGGACAGAGCACACCACACGAGGTATTTTAAACTTGGATACACACACACAGTTCTCCACACATTTGCAGGATACTCCCATCCAGCATGCCTGCCCATGGAGCCCGTGGGCTTCTTCCCCGCAGGTCACACCCATCCCTTGAACACGGCACTCTGTGTTGTGTAAGCACTGGGAATCAAGGGAAGGCTGAATGCACAGGTGCTTCAGGGAGTGGGTGGCCAAACCCCTAATGATATTATGTACAGGAAACTTATCTATCAGGCTGGAGAAAAAATTACAAAATTCAGACAAACTCTGCAAGAAACAATGGTTTTGTTTCTTTCCTGTACACAGAATCAATCTGGAAACCTAAGGTACAGAAAGAGCACTGGAGCGGCTTGTATGGGAAAAGCACAAGGGAATCTGAAGAGAAAGCTGGTGACCCTGCAATACAGAGACAGCGAGAACACACGGATGCATGTTCCACACTGAAACACTGATCTTTCAATGATCTCTCAACTTAACTTGCACTGTTAAAATTAACTGATCAACCAGGAGGGCTCCATTCTGTGCCATCAAACAAGGGCTCCAATTCTGTTTCTGAAGACCTAGAAACATCTGTGTGAACATACTGCAGCAGCACACAGTGGGACGCTATTATCGAAGACACACACATGTGTATTCAAGGACATAAGAAACCAAGCTGGAAATTAGCTGAAAATTTCTTCCCTGGTGGCGAGCTTTCAGGGCCAGCCACTGGGGTAGGGTGGATCATGAATGGATTTGTCCAACAGTGGACCCTGCGTGTTGTTAGACTGATGTGCCTGCTGTGTACAATAATGGCTTCCCAACTGGATCTGAAGCCTACTCCACAAGAAGGGATTCATGGCTTGTCCTATAAACCAGGTCAAAGGCCCATGGCTGGGGAAGTCCTGGGCCGTAGGTGAAAGCCGATTACTGCTGTTTTCTGAATAGTCCCATTGACAGTCTGCTGCCTACCTCTATGTTTAGACCCATAGATGGGTGCTGCTCTCAGCCTTGGTCAGGGAAGCTGCTTCCTGCAGTCAGAAACATTAAATGCAGACATCCTAACTGGTCAAAGTGCTGAGCATAAGTGACTACTGATTGCCTGGTCCTTCACGGGCATTCACACAGCACCCAGTGCTGAGTCTGCAGGATGGGAGGAGTGCTGTGAGCTGTCTTCTGGGTAGGACATGGCTGCTGCACTCAGGAACTCCCATCAGCTGTGCCTACCTGCGTGAGACGTCCACAACCTTCTGAAAATGGTGGACAAGAGATGCCTCACGAGACTCTGTCCCTGCTAAGCAGTGACAACTTTCTGGGGTAGGGGTGCCATTTTCCTTCAGGAGTGTGGCATCTGATAGGCTACCCAAGCTCTGTGGATGGCCCACACCCATTCTGCCTGCAGGTAACACTAACTGGAATCTAGGTTTAAAAAAGGAGGAGGAGTTGAAGGTGGGAGGGGAAGTATTGCGAGAGTGAAAAGGAGCAGATGTTTGTGCTGGATATGATCAAGACACATTATATGCATGTATAAAAATATCAGAGAATAAAAAAGATATTTGGAAGAAATGCACAGTATATAGGCTTTAAGAAAATGTAATAATAATGTATCCTTGTATACCAATTACATACTCTCTGAACATATTGAAGGGAAGCTGAATATTTCATGATCAAACATTTTCAGTTAAAAAGTATATGCAAACCTTTACGGTAGAGTCCCACGATGCAGAATACAGCCTGTCGTTATGCCAACAGATCTTGCTGACAGCATCATCATGTCCCATCAATGTGTCCTGACGTCTTCCAAATGCTATGGAATAAAAATAGCTAAAAGATAACAACAACTATTAAAATAATAGCCAGGCTTAATTTTAAGATTTTTAAACATACATTGAAGAAATAAATATTATTTCTAAACTGCTAATGTTTACTTGAATTACAAATTGTTTGTTCTTATATTAGTAAGGGAAAATATTCAACATTTGAATTTGAAATTAGATTACTTCCAAATCTGTCTTAGCTACATTTCACCGGAGTTTAAAAGTCAGAAAAAAATAGATCCTAATTGGAGAAATTATTACGTTAAAATAATGGCATTTGAACCCAGTGATAGTGGATAGTGTCCTCATGTCTAATATGTTTCCTCTAGTAGAGCCTTATCTTTCACATCTGTATGGGAGACAGCCGCTAGGCATGCGGCATTAATTATGAAGAAGCAGGCACAGATACATACACATTGTTATCCCAGGAAGAACTTATGACAGTGGTGTCTCCTGGCAAAAGTAAACAAGATGATAGAGCCTGAAATACAAAAGATTTGATATTAATGACTTGTAATAATTAGTAAATTCTTTACTGGTATACCTCTCTTATGGATGCCTGCCAAACCAATGTCAGACTCTTTCTACAGTGGCTTTCCTCATAGCTACCAGGGCTCAGCGTGGCCAAGTCCAGATTTATGGTTTTCTCCTAAATGCTCAGATTTGTCAGGAATACTGTGGCCCAGCCTGATGCTTCCTGGGCTCCCACAGGGCTGGAGGGATGTTGCTGATCTGGAGTGGATCGTGGTAGGAGGATAGTCCTTAAGGATGAGATGGCTCTCTGTGTAGTGCTGATCTGGAGTGGATCATGGTAGGAGGATAGTCCTTAAGGATGAAATGGCTCTCTGTGTAGTGCTGATCTGGAATGGATCGTGGTAGGAGGCTAGTCCTTAAGGATGAGATGGCTCTCTGTGTAGTGCTGATCTGGAGTGGATCGTGGTAGGAGGATAGTCCTTAAGGATGAAATGGCTCTCTGTGTAGTGCTGATCTGGAGTGGATCGTGGTAGGAGGATAGTCCTTAAGGATGAAATGGCTCTCTGTGTAGTGCTGATCTGGAGTGGATCGTGGTAGGAGGATAGTCCTTAAGGATGAAATGGCTCTCTGTGTCGTGCAGAGATGCAACTAAGGAAAATATAACGTTCTTAAGGGAATTTCAAAATCTCTTGGAGTGTTGACATTAGAAATAAGGCACATGTCTTTAACAACTGGGTTTTTTTTTTCCCTAAGTAATCAGAAGTGCCTAAATTATTTAAGTAGCACAGAAATGTTTCTTTTCTGATAGCTAAAAGGAAGGATAAACTTTTTAAGGAGAATTTTTCTGGGTATTCAAGATTGTACCTTAAAATGAAATCACACCAGTATGAGAAAGAAACAGGCAGAAACTGGACCTCCTTTATTCCTTCCTGCCAGCCTCCCTCTCTCCCACCCCCAGACCCAGGACCTTGCATATGCTAGGCAAATGCTCAAACATAGAACTACACCCTAGACTCCATGTGTTTTAGTGTAACTCTAGTAAAATAAACTTACCATATTTGAAAATGATATGCTTCTTTGTAGCATTTTGGATTCCTTAGAAAACATCTTCAGAGTGGAATCTAAGAATTAGAACAGAGATGGAACATTTCCTAAGCATTACAGATGCCAAAGGAGAGCCACCCTACTTACTCTTGAAGGGCAGAAGTCAGTGTCATGCCATGGAAAACTAAGTGTATGCGAGCATCTTGTCAAAATTAAGATCCTATGACCTGTAACTCCTGAAAGATCAGTTGAAACCTCACAATCCCAGCACAGACTTGGTTTGCCACTGACATTTCTAAAGGCCTGCATGCACAGTACAGTCCACACCCAAGTATGCGGGGAATTACGGTGGAGGGACGCAGAGATCTTAATATCGAAACCAAAGTGTACAGGTGTGTGAGCATGTATATGTTTGTTTTTTTAATGCATTTACGTGTACCACATGCATGCCTGCAGCCTGTGCAGACCAGAAGAGGGTACTGAATTCCCTGGAACTGGAGTGCTAAATGGTTGTAAATGAGCATGTGTGTGCTGGGAACCAAACCCCTGTTCTCTAAAGAGTAATACTTTTACACACTGAGCCATTTCTCCAGGCCTAATTTTATTTTAAGAAAACAAAAGACTTTGGTAATAGAAGTAGTTTTTTAAAATGAATGGCCTAATTAAAGAGTGACATTCTTTTTCTGGATTATTTATAGATGAGAAGTACTTTTATTTTTGTTATTTTTCCTTTTTACTGAGGAAGGAAAATGTTTTGTGTATACTCAAATTCCTCAGCTCCACCCCACACAGTCCTGTTTTATGAAACTGTTGGACAGAGCAAAGCTGGCATTGAAAAGAAAGGCGGGGTGGAAGATAAACTAAAAGAGAGTGGGCATGGAGCAATGACAGGAGCTGCAGATGTGCCAGCTGAACATTGGAGTCTGCAGCGGAGCATATGCCAATCAAGTGTGTTCACTGGCTGGGAGAACCACTCACTTATACAATAACAGCAGTGCAGGGACGAAAACACCCAAATGACTAATTTCCTTGACTAACAGACACTGTGCAAGTTCACCAACAAGACTGTTAAAAAGCCAGAACAGAGGCTCAGTGAAAGAGCACTCCATAGCAGCAAAGATATGGATGCCATCTCCAGCACCAAAACCAGCCCTCAAGACTCACAGCTTAATGTTCCTACAGATATTCTATCATGCAGTAAGCTACTTCCTAAATACCCAACATGGTAGCCCGTCAGAATGAGCTTTTATTTTTTTTTTTTTGAAGAATGAGCTTTTAATACATATCTTCTCTTCAGTGAAACTTTCTTGGCAACAGAATTCATGAAAATTTGTAAACAGGAGCCTCAGTAAGACTTTCCTTATCGCTAGCTTGTGAACAAACACAACAGCCCTTGACTGTTCTTTGCAGGGTGTCATTAATCTTGGAACATCCTCCCAATTTGCTTTTGATCCTGTTAGGCAGTGCTGTGTGCTCACCACAAAGTCTACCGAAGACAATTTGACCATTTTACAGAGGCATAAAGTAGCCAAGACACTTTTCTCCAAACCAAAGGTTCTCCCCCAGCACTAGAAGCTGTCAGGTAAAGACAGCAGCGAGCGCTGATGCCCCAGGTGGTAGCCACGAAACCGAAGTGCACTGTGCATCTGAGGGGAATTTAGCTGTGAGGCCAATATTAGACTGAATATAAACCAGTAACACAGATCATGAAAATCCAATCTGGAGAAATTTAAATTAAACAAAAATACAAGTGTTTGACTTTAACAAAAATCCTTCCTTTTTACTTGGCAAATTCACAAAGCAGTGGTACGAAACTTAGTAAGCTGGGGGAGAGACCTGCAATCTTGATGGTCATAACATAAAACACATGGTTTACACGGTCACATGAGTACAGAGATTTGAAGATTTGACAAGCCACGCTGGACAAACCATGCTACGAACCACTAGCCCAGTGGTTCTCAACCTTCCCAATCCTGTGGCCTTTAATACAGTTCCTCATGTTGTGGTAACCCCCCAGCCATAAAATTATTTTGTTGTTACTTCATAACTAATTTTGCTACTGAATCATAACATAAATATCTGAAAGCGGCTGCCGTGAAGGGTCATCCACCCTAAAGGCGTCACACCCACTGGTTGAGAACTACTGCACCAGGAGCTCTGTTAAAAGACACAAGTGTTTGGTGGTTGCTTACTGGGTCAACATAGTGGCTAGAAATCTTGGCAGAACACAGATGGCTTCCTTCTTCCCGAGCAGCACAGTAGGTGCCCTAACATTTCTGTGTAGGGTCCTATACAATCGTTTTGTAGACTTTGTGGAAAATTCTATTTTATGGAATCCAAGGTGGTGTATAACAGGGAAAATGAAATGCTACAGCTCACAGGCCATGGAAACAATGTGGGAGCAGCAACTCATCTCCCTGGATGTGGGTAGCTGCATAGCATCATTTATAAGCATGACTGATGGAAACTACAGTCTCCTGTGCTCATCTAAGACGAAGAAGAGTAGCTTCATAAAAACAATCACTAGCTTTGTCAGACCGGCTGTCCTGACACTGAAGCACACTTCTATTAATGATAGAGATAGACATCTAGGAAAACATGTGCAGCAAGAGATGAATTTTGCTGTTCTTATAGATCAACACAGCCAAATTCTAATGGATCATTATGATATAATTTTAAGTCTTACCAAAAGGCATAGTACATTATCAATATATGAATTCAATGTCATGTTATATCCTACAAAAAAAAATCGAGAGTCATAAGCTAACAGCAAATCTGCCTTCCACAGCTAATGTGCACCACTACCCTGGCAGGTCAGGTTTGGCTCAGCCCTGGCTACGCCTCCATGCCATTCTGAGTTCTGCATGCCACATAGCAGGCTTGGAACCTCTTGTAGTAAGTTAGCCTGGAGTAAGCAAGGCCATGGCCAATGGACTCTTCCTGCCTTGTGTCTTCATTCAGGAAACCTTGTCAGCATCAAGAAGCCTTTCCTTTTTTGCAACCTACAACAGAACTTTTCTAGGCCTATTTTATGTGGAAGCAGCACGTGCCAATGCGTAAAGCTCACACACTGATTCTAGCTAAACAGCTTTTTGTAAACGAAGACTACTTTTGTTTCCGGCTGCTCAGACCCAAATAATCACACAGAAACTATAGTATTTACAACACTGTTTGGCCAATGGCTCAGGCATATTCCTAGCTGGCTCTTTTATCTTAAATTTGCCCATTTCTATTAATCTGTGTATCGCCATGAGGGTGTGGCTTACCAGTAAGATTCTGGCATCTTTCTCCTTTGACAGCAACATGGTGTCTCCTTGACTTCACCTGCTCTCTCTATATATTTGGATTTCCCGCCTTGTTATATTCTGCCCTGCCATAGGCCAAAGCAACTTCCTTATCAACCATTGGCAATGAAACACATTCACAGCATACAGAGGGGAATCCCACATCAGTTTTTCAGGCAGGAAAACATACCTTGTGATGTGGTAAAGACTGAAGACCCATTGCAAGACACTGCTATCCCTGTAACTGCCCTGTTGAAAATTGAAGTTTTATAGATTATCATTAGCCATGTGCTGGGGCACCTGCTTTATTTTTCCTAAGCTCCCTTCATTTTGTCTTCATGGCTCTTTCACTTGGGCTGTTCTCTGCGTGTCCCTGCCATTGCATGCCATTGCTTGTTAATGCCCACTTTGCTCAGGCAGACAACACCCTGCTGCTAGCAAACATTCTTGCTCTTTGCTCCCCAAAACTGCTGCAGACGATGCTGAACCCTACCATCCCACCTTATCTGACCATACCCAAAATGACGGCACTTACTCTTCACAACCGCTTAGCTCGCTTTATTCAGAATACACTGTCCCTAATGTCTGCCAATGGCAGGCACATGGTTCTAGTGGGCCCTTTCAAACAATATCCAAGGCTCTCCACATGGTCTCTTCCTAGGTGCCTTTCTGGAAGTTGAGGGAAGACAAGCTAATCTAAAAGATAAGGTAGAACTGGCTCTCTATGTTCAAGATGCTGTACTCTACTGTGATCCACACCTCAGGCATTCACACACCCCAATCTACTCATGACTAGCAGAACACATGGCCACCACTTGTGCGGGACTGCTGACAGCCATGGGTGTACCAGTGCCAGAGCTAGGCTAGGTTCTTTATGAAGCAGGCTAGCCCATTAGAGCAGCCTCTTAGCTTCCCCACCATGGTACACGAGCATCCTCATCAGAGGAGACACGGGAGGCTTCCATCCACAAACCCAATATTCTTGACATTACAGGTGTCATTTAAAAAATTATGTGTTTTACAATGCACGTACTTGGTTCTCTCCCTCCCTCTCTCCCTGCCTGTCTTTCCATCGTTCTGCACAGCCCCTTCCCTCACCCTGTGTGACTTTATCATCTTACAGTGCCTCTTTCTCCACCCATGAGTTATCATTATCTTATAAAAGATCTTTGTCAATTTTCCCACTCATCCATACATCCACTCACCCACCCACATTTGTTATAAATTTTTGCATGTAAATATATTTGTGCTATACATGTATATTCACATTTCCATGTCTATAGGAGCACATGTCTGCATGTGTGTGTCTGTGTGTACATGTGGAGTTCCAAAGATGACCTTGGATGTCTTCCTTGATGGCTCTCCATGCACTTTACTGAGGAAGGATCTCTCGCTGAATCTCTGGCTAGCCAGCTTGCCCAAGGATTGTCTCTGTCTCCTGAGTTCCGGGATTACAAATGGCCACGATACCTGCCTGGCTTTTACATGGGTCCTGGGATTACAGATGGCCACTGTACATGCGCAGCTTTTACAGTGCTTTATCCAGTGAGCTAGCTACCTTGTTAGTCCCATTATTTTTTTAAAGGTGTACTTTTTCCTACACTATCAGTAAATCCAAAGCTTAATCACAGACATGCTTGTCTCATAATCCCCCACTTTTTAAGATTTGAGGAGTGGTATGTACAGTCTAGAAGTACAAAACTACAGGCTGTCTGCCAGCCCAAGCCTATTCTAGAACAGTGGTTCTCAACCTGTGGGTCGCAGGTTTGGGGTCAAATGACCCTTTCTCAGGGGTCACATATCAGATATACTGCATATCAGGTATATACATTACTATTCACAATAGTGGCTTAATTATAGTGATGAAGTAGCAACAAAATAATTTTATGGTTTGGGGGTCACACAAGATGAGGAATCATATTAAAGGGTCCCGAAATTCAGAAGGTTGAGAGCCACTGTTCTAGAACAACATATGACAGAAAGGACAGTAGGAAAGAGCATGGGGACAAAACTACCCGTTTCATGCCAAATTTTCCTTTGCTACAATGGCTCCACATGACAGATCACTGCAGACATTTTGCAGGCTGGACACCAGTGATGGCAACACTGAGTGGACACTTCCCACACGACTTGGCTTCTACAGTTCACCACACCCAGACCCCACATGACTTGGCTTCGACAGCTCCCCACATGACTTGGCTTCGACAGCTCCCCCACACCCAGACCCCAGTTTTACAGAGACCAGAAGCACAAGGCCCTCTTACTCTTTGTGGATTTTGTACTGTTCATGCAGCTGCAACTTGGTGATGTTATTCCAGGCCAGGCTTCTACTTTCCTCGGTCAGGTCTTCAAATGACTCCTCCCCTGGAGAGACTGCATGAAACCAGTGCTCAGTGAGTCAGTAAGTCATGGAAAAGCAACTGCATCAGAATCGCTGTGTTTTCTATTACAGTGAAAGAATTAGGAAAACAAGCTGCTCACCAAAATAGGCTTTCAAAGGTACTTACGGTACCTTGGCCCAAGGTTAGCCAAGGACAAATCAAAAAGTTTAGTTGAAAGCCCCAGGCTTTCAAAGTCCTGACTAGTTGCTCAGGCATCATGGGACATTAAGGTCTGAGTGGCCATTTCCTTCTCAGTCTTTCCCTTTGTAGAGCCCGCCAGTTGCCTATGGATGCTCAAGTGTTATTTGGGTTTTGAGAAGGAGAAATAAAACAAGAAATCAAGTCAGGCTTCTGGTTCCTCAAAGGGTTTCTGGGCAGAAGTAATGTTCTCGCTTCTGCATAAAGAAAAGCTGGAGTAATTACCCTGGTTAAAAGGTCACGATGGTGGCTAAGGTTGAGTAAGGGAGGACTACAGCATTGCTGACCTAACCCTGGATGCCTTCAAGGAGTATTTTCAGCTGCCCTAGGTCGAGTCCTCACAGCAAAGTGCTGGAAAGTGAGCTTAGTTCCTGTTGCAGCAACCCTGAAAGCCTCAGCACACATGGGTGTCATGAGACAAAACTGGAAGAAAAGGAAACGCGTTGTTGATGTGTGCTGTGTGCTGTCACATGGCTCCTCACAGGAGGCTCTGTGACTACGGAATGTGCCTACATGGATGAAGGTGCGGGATCATTCATCTTAGCAGCCGGCATGGCCTGGGTGGACGAGATACTCGACATCTGCCACATGTTAATGAGAAAAATAAATGAGAGAGAGAACAAGTTTAGCAGCAAAGTAGTTTGAACTGAATTCAAGTTTTGTATGTGGATTTGATGGAGTCCAGGCCAGGGGAAGTCCTCTCTAGGACAGTATGGAGCAGGTGGCTGTTGAAGCAGGCATGGCCGAGAACGTATGTCAGACAGACACTGAGTGTCAACTTCAAAATCACAGTATCGGAGGCTTGTGACAATCACGGTCACAGTCAATGACCATTTCTCAAAATTTACAGTTACAGACAACCGTCAACAAAAACAGGAGAAGAAGAAATATGTTTGTTCTGTGGTGCTCAAGGCTGAGCCCAAGGCCCTGCATACCCTAGGAAGACGGAGCTCTGTGACCAACACAGACATCTTAGGCAACTGGGCAGTTTGTTTCATCCCAGCCTCAGCCTCGTCAGGAACTCGCTGAGCACAGGGGACACATAGGCCCTTGCTAAGCTTACACCTACTCTTCACAGGACTCACCTGGGGAATCTGTCACAGACGCATTATAGCTGGAGGCTTGGGACACACTTTTGAACTTGGGGGTGATCCTTCGAGGATGCGGTGTCACAAACAACTGTTTTGGTGTCTGCCCAAATTCCAAAATTTGGGTCAGCATGGCTACTTTCTCATCAGGATCCTCAATGCTTTAGGAAGAAACACAAAAGACGCAGTAAACCACTAAGTCCCTAAAGCGTGAGTGTCAAACGGTGCAGATCAGCTGGGAGACAGAACCTCAAATGAAAAGCCACGACGGGCGAGGACTAACTCTCTTCATATACCTTTGCATAATATTTTGTTTGTTTTGTTTTGAGACAGGGTTTCTCTGTGTAACCTTGGCTGTCCTGGAACTCAGAGATCCACTGTGTCTGCCTTCTGAGTGCTTGGATTACTATTGCCGGGCGGTGGTGGTGAATGTCACATGTGTAAGGGTGGCTGAGGAGGCCAGAGAAAGGCGTTAGATTCCTCAGAGCTGCAGTTCCAGGGAGCTCTGAGCTGCCCAACGTGAGTGCAGGGAATCAAATTCAAGTCCTTTCGGAGAGCAGCAAGAGCTCTTAATACTGAGCCATTTCTCTGGTCCCTGTTTTCTGTGTCTTAGCAACTAACAATATTGAAAGCAGGATACAAATCTTTTCAAAATTTCTATACCTTAACTTCTCAAATAAGTGCATTAATGATTCAGATAGCAGTGTTTCATAATGAAGCAGAGACACCTTACAGACTCACACATACCTGTTTAAGTCTACACCACCTTCATAGGTCAGGGGATGAAATACTGAAGGAGAGATAGAAACACTATTGAAAAAGCATACATTTAATTATAAATACCCTGTCCAGAATCTGAACTACTCAAAACTGTATTCAGAGAAATTCACTTTGGTCTGTGAAGCACTGATATGCATACAGTGAAGATGAACTGGCACTGTATCTTTTGGTGAGCAGCGATGACAGTGGCAGCTGGGGTGGGCTGTTGTCTTCCTTGGCTAGCATTACTTTCTCCCTCGGGGAAGCATCAGTCATAGCACTGGCATGACTGCACTTCACGTGAGTCACTTCTGGATTTCAGTGCGAGTTCCTCGCTACTGACAGAAAGACTCAGAAACCCGAGGCAGAAGAGGCGGACAGAGGCCACCTTCTTCACACTTAAAGCAAAATCGGCCCTTTGTAGCCATCAAAGTCACTGCTGTGTAACAGATTCGTTTGGTTTGCAGAGCCCAGACCTGCAGCCCAGACTCGTCTTGAGCTCCCCGAGCACTAGGTCTCCAGTTTGTTGTCTGCCTGGCCGCATCTCACCACACACCGAGGGAAACGCCAGCCAGTGTCACGTACCGTTGTGGGCTCCTACAGCCTCACTCCCTTTTTGCTTATAGCCAAATATGAGATCAATCCACTCGTGAAGGTGCTCAGAGACATAACTGCTTTCCAAGGCAGCCTTGTTCTTCTGGAGGAAGTCCTGGGGACCTATCGGGGTAGACTGCATCAGAATGTTATGTCATCTCTGTTGAATTTTCTTTCATTTCTTGTACCCATCTATTTGTGCATAAAACTTCTAGGAGATAAGAGATATATGTTTCTATATTTTTCTTTTAAAGACATACATATCTCTAATGAGTTTTATTATTCATCTTATGTATTTTTACCTAGAAAAAGTGGCAGAAGCATTTTTATGACATTTGGGTCTATCAAACATATAGATGTCTTTACAATGTAGACACAGCATACTTTTGATTGGGATAAACGGACTCCAGCTCAGTTAAGTAGGTATTCTTAGCAGTCACAAGCAATCCAACACAATGAACGACATCATAACTTGGGAGAGCATGCCACACGACGCACCGCCATGCCGCAGGAGGCACTCACCTGAGGCCCATGCTGGGAGCTCCACGTCATCAACCATCTGCCCTCCTTGTCTCTTTCCCAGATCCAGCTTCAGACTATTGACTAAAAAGCTGACGTCTTCGTCATAAAATTCCGGGATCAACTGTTGGAGGTGGGGGTAGAACATGTTTTTACAGCATTGAGAAAGCGAAGCCCGTGGGTCACCAGCTCCCTGAATTGCTCACCTCTTTAAAATCCGTTGCGCCATCCAAACAGTTTTTCCAGGTTTCTGCAATACTAGATATGAAAGAGTGATGCGCTCATGAGCAGCCTGGGCTACGGCAGCAGCAGCTTTTCTCGGTGTCCTCCCAGTAACACCTACTGTCTAGGCTCCTGCGCTCAAGCTTTCTCACTGACTCGGATTCTAACACGCATGTGAGGCCCCGCCCCTTGACCTCAAAAGAAAAGTGTGGCCAGGGGCTGGCAGAACTTCACTAGAATCAAAGGAGAGTGAAGCAAGGCCGCACTACCACATGCACATGCCCCATGGAAGGGCACACCACACCGCCCCAACCAACACACGTACACAACACATGCACACCACCACACGCACACTGTCTTATCCAAGGGGCACATCCTCGACTAGTGCAACTCTCTGTGGCTCCAGAAAAGTGTATGGTGGGACAGAAGGGGACTCTGCTTCCTTTTTTTATTCTGGGAAGCAAATGCTAATCATTCAAATGTGTAAGCCAATTTTAATGCTTTCACCATAGCAGAATTATCAAGAAGAATAAAATTTGGGTAGACAAATTTAATTGCCCAATAGAAAATAAGAGTTTAAGTAAATTGTGGTATATTCTAAAACATGACACAATAATTTTTTAAAGTCATTGTTTCAAAATATTCTTCCGAGTATGAAAAAGAACTGCTCAGGCTACACGGGTCAGGAGAAAAATCTAATTTAAAAATCTGTCCCTAAACCAGGTGTGGTAACATAAACCCTTAATCCCAGCACTTGGGTAGCAGAAGCAGGCAGATCTCAGAGTTCAAGGCCATCCTGGTCTATAGACTGAGTTCTAGACCAGCATGGGCTATACAGAGAAATCTTGTCTTTAAACAAAACAAAAATCTGTTCCTAGGGCTGGAGAGATGGCTCAGTGGACCTGGGATCGATTCCCAGCACCCTCATGGTAGATCACAACTATCTGTGACTCCAAAACCAGGACACCTTCTGGTTCCTGTAGGCAGGGCACACACACACACATATGCAGTCAAATACTCAGACATAAAAAAATAAATTAAAAATAATATAAAAACATGTTTCCCAATATACACATTATTAAAGCTTGAAAGAAAGGATTTGTTTATAAGACAGGGTCTCACTACAGCTTGGCCATCCTGGAATCTCTGTAAAGACCAGGCTGGCCTGGAACTCATGAATATCCACCTGCCTCTGTCTCTTGAGTGTTGGAGTGAAAAGTGTATGTCTTCAGGCCTGTTAGGCTTTATATTTCTGCATTTTTGTTATATCTAGTATTTTAAACCAAGCATACTGTACATATATAATCAGAAAGTGTTCAAAATGATGAGGTGTTTTATCAAACCTGTTGAACATCCTATCTGCATTATCAAATCTTCCATTCTGTAGACACAGCATATACTCCGGTGCTAGACAGGGGAAAACCAGGGTTAGATCAGACTGCAGAATTGTCTGAGAATCCAGGTGAAACGGTGGGTGATGCCAGAGCCTTACCAATCCTGACGAGGTAGAAGAGCACATAGCCCGGCGAGGAGTAGTGGCTCCCATACATGAACTTCGGCTCGGGCATTTCCTTGTATCGCGTCTGCAACGTAAGAACAAAGAGCTACGTGTTGCCCGAGAGACAGTAACTGACGTGAGGTGTCAACCCTGAGTGGAGCTCCTGACACGCCGTTCCTCATCCCTCTCCTAGTAGTAGCAGAGGGCCAGCAAGCAAGCATCCATGACCAGCAGATAAGCATTCTCGTTCTCTAGGCTTTCACTGCCTATGGCGCTGACATCCAACAAAACAGAATTGTGTGCACCTCTTGTGCAGTTTATCAAAGATTTTCTTCATAAAAATAATTCAAACTTCCCAGATTAAAGACAAAGACAAACACACAGAAACAGTGAGCTGCTGGTTACGGCAGGAAAGGGCTGAGGACTTCCTGCCACAGCACACCTAAGTCTAGGGGCAGAGCTTCAGTCACTAAGAGGCAAAGGCAATGATTTGTGAGGTTGCTTAGAATCCACGAGCCCCATATACACACCAGCAGTCTCTCCAGCCGTTCCTGATTTAAGGCGCCCACTGGCTTACTAAGATCTCGGAAGGTTTCAGGATTCGACAGATCTGTAAACATAAGCACAATGACACGAGCCAAGTTCACACTTGTTCTATGAAGTCATTTTAAGAACTGAGATGAATCCACAATAGTCAGAACCTATATTATCTATACAGGTGCAAAACAAACAAATAAACCCTCACTCAAAAGTAACGTCTGTAGTGTGAGATGCCCAGAACAGACTTTCTGTAGCAGACCAGATGGATCTGTGGGTAAACACACCTGCCATGGAAGCCAACAACCTGAGTTCAAGCCCTGGGACTCGCATGGTGGAAGGAGAGCACTGACTCCTACAGGTTGTCTGACTTCAATACAGGTCCATCTTGGCACATGTACACCCACACACCCAACCCCCCATACACATACAAATAAATAAATCATGTCATTTTAAAGTACTTTCCAATAAAGAACAAAGGAAGCCCAATTCCAGGGACAACTACAAAAACAAACTTTTAATCCATCTTTTTCCATTAAAGTTACTTTCTATGTCTAAACTACAGTGACATTAGCAAATACACACTATTTTTTTTTTTTGTTTTTTTAGACAAGGTTTCTCTGTGTAGCCCTGGCTGTCCTGGAACTCACTCTGTAGACCAGGCTGATCTCGAACTCACTGAGATCCACCTGCCCTGACTCCCAAGTGCTGGGATTAAAGGTGTATGCCACCACCACTCAGCTACATACATAAAATTTAAAAACCCAGGATTTGGAAATCATCAATGAATTACATTCTTATATCTGTAGACAATTTGTTATTACTTTCAATGACAAAGGCTCAACTCACCAAACTGTCAAAAAGAACAACTTGATCATAATATATAATTTTAAAGAGTTATGATATAAAATTACAATATTATCAAATTTTAGAAGCATTATTTAGGGAACAAGAAAGAAGTTCTGATGTCATAAAAAAAGAAAGTGTTGACAGTCCTGAGTGTCGGTGTGAGGGGACAGAGAAATTCCTACATTAGTAAGATGTTTCTGAGCATGTCTTCACAGGCATCTCCCAAGCCAATCAGATGACAAGGGCTCTTACCTAATGGACAGATTGATCCTTTAGCTGGTTTACTATACAATGTCAGTACTAGCAAGCCTGAAAAAGGGAGGAGGAAGGCCCCAGAGGAATGTCTTCCAGCTTACATCCTGTCCTAGCCCTTGGCGCTATTCTCTTCCTCCTGCTACCCTGCTTCCCAGTGCTGCCTGATGTCCTTGCCTTTGAGATCATAGCTAAGACCAATCTTCCCACCTATACTGTGGCCTTCTTGGGTATTCTGTCATGGTGACAACACAGAAGCCTGCGGAGTACCGCTACCTCTCAGAATCCGACTGGGGATGACTTCCATTTCCTCCTGTGGTTAGTGGACGGCTTATTCTTTCATTAAAAATTTCAATGTGAATTTAAAATAACAAACTAACTTGAAAATTTCAGTGAGAAATTTAAATATTTCAAAACTTGGCAGTTACACATAATAATAGGAAGACTGAATTAAAATTATGCACACATTTCCTATGTATAACCTTCACGAAGTGGCAAACACACATAAAACACTATTTATACCACATCTGCCCAATATTTTGAAATGGAAATTGGCAACCTTTAGTGAGAAAGCTGAAATGAGCTCTATTTTGTTCCTATAATCAGACATGCTATAAAATAAAGCGCACCCTCCCGCTGGGAAGCAGGTCCTCCCCAGGGCCCACGCAGGACAGTGCTCACCTAACTCTGGGCTGGAGTAGTCATTTATTATCCACGGAAACACGGGGTACTGGGAGAGGTCATTGCAGCTGCGGTCGGCCAGGTTGTTGAGGTGGAGCAGGTACTGGTAGTTGGAAAGGTGCCCTCGCTGCCACTGCAGCATGTAGCTCTCTGCAGTGTGCTCGGTGGCGTGGTTCTCTGCGGGACAGGGGTGGGGCCGTCACAGTACTGCAAGGATCACTGGTGAGCTTCTACTCAGTGTGAAGAGCTAGCTTCTGCTCAGTGTGAAGAGCTAGCTTCTATCTACTTAGTGTGAAGAGCGAGCTTCTATCTACTTAGTGTGAAGAGCTAGTTTCTGCTCAGTGTGAAGAGCTAGCTTCTGCTCAATGTGAAGAGCTAGCTTCTGCTCAGAATGAAAAGCTAGCTTCTGCTCATTGTGAAGAGCTAGCTTCTGCTAAGTGTGAAGAGTGAGCTTCTTTAGTGTTTTTAAAGTGTCTGTGGATGTGTTTTCACAAAGATCCAGATAAAGAGGTTATTAAGTCTATTGAACTACTATCAAATTCACTCCCAAAAGCTATATAAAAAACTATTAGACTATGGAGTGGCAATGGCTGACAATTACACAATGAATAATAGATTCTATCAAATGTGCCAAGTTTTGGTGACTTTTTAGAAACCATGGCCATTTGTAAACACCCCCCTCATTTTTTTGAAGCCAGAACAAAATATTGAACTTAATTTTTCCTAGGTTCTAAAGAGGTGGACTATTGCCAATGTATCAGTAGCTACATATCATCCACAAAACTGGAAAAGAGAAAGCGGGATTTTGTAGGGCTAATTGGTAAACCAGAACCACCAGGAAGGCCCTCGGGAGAAATGGCCTTTCAGTAAGAACTGTGGTTTTAGAAGGGCTGGGATGGCTCAGCTATCCTACAGATGGAAGAATTTGTCATTTTGTTTAGAAAATTCTGCTTTTCTGAACCTAAAATCTCTTTACTGGACGTAATAGCATCTTCACTCATATGCTGTTTAGTAGGTATGTATGTATTCTAATTTACTTCTCACCGAGCTTCTCATTAGCTACCAGGAAAGACTTCAAAACAATGAAGCTTTTCTTTTTAATTCCTAGCTCTTGGAAGTCTTGGGAAAGGCTTGAGCAAACTTAGGAATGAGCTCAGACAGGAGGAGTGGCAGCTGGGACGCAGACAGAGGGTGTGACTGCAGCTTTAGTATTCCCTAAAACAGTGAGCTTTCTACTGTTGTCTTATCATTTTAGAAAAATAAGACACCTGGACTCAGAAGATAAAAACAAACGCATACTAAATCTCTGCTCATTCACTATGTTAAAGTCAAGAGCTGATAAACTACTCCAGGCTAAAATGTAAGTCCGCTGGAATAAAATCCTTCCCTAGAGCAAGGAAAGACACCCTTCACCACCCATGTGAAGAAGATCTCACTGCACACCAGAGAGAAACAAACTAGGATGCATTAACAAAATCTCAACGTCAATGTAAAAGTCAGTCCTTCCTAGTGACAGGGCAACCATGTAAATCAGGAATTTAGTCATATAGCTTAATAAAGAGTCACAGCTGATGAAAATGTGGGGGATTTTTCTGATAAAGGTGGGGAACTGCACATTCTCCAACAGGACTGAGGCTCCCTTCCTAAAGAAAATAGATTCCAGTCGAAGGGTGTAGGGCCAGGCATGGAGGACTCACCTGCTCCATGTGAGTGCTGGCTCTCTGGTGAAGAGCTAACTAGTGATCGTAAACACATCCTCATGTCTTACAAAAACCTCAGTTTTCGTTTTCGTAAATTAAATCATGCCATGAAAAAAACCCTTGGGTCCTCTCTGTAACCCCCTCAAGTTGGAAGTCATTAAAATAAGGAAGCATTTAAACATATTCATTAAGAGCTTTCAAAACACACAAATGAGCATTAACAAAATGAATTCACATTTCCCTCGTTTGTAGGATATCATATCTGAGAACAAAGCAAGTACAACTATATGGCAAGCAATGCTTCTCTTGTTTGCTGCCCCAGCCTCTTAGGAGCTGAGCTACCTTCACAGGCACGGACAATAAAGAGAGGCCAGCCAACCTAGGTATGTGGCGATGTAGAAATAGAGGTCGTCTCTGTCTTGAGGTTCATAGAACTTTAGGTATATGTCGGAACACAGGTCATCTTCCGTGCAAAACACTTCCAAGCCCTAAAAATTCAGAAAGAATAAAACAAATAGCTCCATGTCCATCCTCCAATCACAGAAGTACACAACCTTAAGTCAGCTCAGCATTTATGTGCTTGAGCCTTAGGCCGTGCTTACATTTATACTCTGACTCGGGATATAGGCCACTATATTCCCGTGTGTTTTCTTATAAACACCCTGAGAACGAGAGATGCACATCAGGAAAACAGTGTGATTCTCTTTAGTACCAAATATGGTTACTGACAATAGCTTTTTATTCTGAAATTTAAAATTAGATTGCTAATGAAGCCACATTTCGTTTTGCACATAAATATTTAGCTTTATTATATAAATTGAATAACTATGAAACAAATTAATAATCAAATAACTCACTCAATGATGGCTATTTTAAAGGACACTATAAACTGAATGTTCTGGGCCATCTGGGCTGCAGTAGGCCCAGTCTCAAGAGAAAAGAGTCAGCTTCCTGGGCATTGTGGTCGCAAAGGAAGACAGGCAGCAACCACAAGGAGGGCTAGGGGGTGCTGGGGTCAGGCTCAGGCTGCTGGAACTCACCAGCTGGGGGAGTTAGGGAGTTAAGTCCTGGGCTGTACTGTACAGAGCTGCAATGGAAACGGGTGGGGCTAACCAATGCTAATCTCTCCACTTTTTCTCATGGCTCTTCTGTAGTGAGAGCACAAGATTTTTAATAGTATTTGTTTTCTGTGGCTTTCTACTATCATTAGAAATGGACATAAAATACGTAACAAAGTGCTTGAATTTCACAAATTAAAAGTACAAAAATGAGCTAGTTATGATCTGCAAAAGGAAACGAATCTAGATTGGTATCAGTTTAGAACACGTTGGAACCGTCTCCTCAGCAGTGATAACTTCTAAGGTGCATTTGTGAGATAAGCTGAGGGGATGGCGAGAAGAGCCAACCCTTTAATGGCTGTCTCCTCTATCTCCTCCTCCCTGAGCTCAGAACTGCTATGGCTGCTCTGATGTGCTCTCCTGCCATCCTAAAAAGTTACGGAAGGCTCTTCCCAGGATTACCCTGAGAGTCGGCTGGGCCGCAGCGGGCATTAGCTGGAGGAACACTGGCCCACTCTGCCAGCACTAGTCTAGCCTTAGCCTAGAAGCTCTGGACATTCAGGAAGGAGAAACTCAAGGACTCTCTAGCCCTTTAGCTCTTGAACAAAAAGGTATTTCTGCAACAGAAGCTGTTACTTCCCGAGTTATCGTCTATCAGTTGCCAGCTTCCACATGCCCACATACAGCACACCTGGGTTTTCAGGCCTGCTGCGGGGCCTGGATGTCGATCAGGCACCACACTGCAGGTCTGGCAACCTCCTACAGGGAGCTGCCCTGCATCAGTGACCTGAACTCACCAAAGGCATGAGGCCGTGCCTCCTTTTGTAAATGCGCCGGATGTCTTGGAGTGTTATCTGGACCACAGGTTTCTTTAAAAAGGACAAAGGTAGTGTCAAGAGTCACCATTCAAACACAATTAGAAGTTGTTCTTTTCTATCTTACAGCAGGGAGGGAGAGAGCTACACATCCTTGCCTTCCCAGTGTGCTGCAGCTAAACACCTAGGAGAGATCTTGGAGCAAATGGTACTCAAGTCACAGTTTACTCTGACATAGCTCTTAGCTCCTCAGTAAAGTCAGATGATAACGGCACCCTCATCTTTCAGATTATTGCAAGGGTTAGTGTGTGGTGTGGGGCACTCAAGAATGAGTATAAATAACTATTCAATAAGTTTGTTCCTTTAAAACATGTATTGTGTGTATGTGTGTGTTTCTGAGTGCATGCATGCACCTATGTGAGGGGCTATATGTACCTGTGTATATGTGTATATGTGGGTGTGTGTATCTGAGTGTATGCATGCACCTGTGTGTGAGGGGCTACATGTGCTCTCAGGTGTGGAGGTCGGAGAAGGCATCAGGTACCTTCTGCTATTACTCTCCACCTATTTTTTGGGGCAGGGTCTCTCCCTAACTTATCTCTACTTGGCTCAGAGCTGAGGTTACAGGTGTGTGTGGGACACCGTGGGCTCTGGGGGGTGCTAGGATTCTAGATCTGGTCCCGATACCTGAGAGCACATGCTCTTGAATGCTAAACCATCCCTCCAGCCCTGAATCTTGATCTAGGATTTACTTTGCACTAAGATCCTTTTTTTAAAAAAAAAATATGTTTTTAATTTCCTTTATTACAAAATTTTATATCTCATTAATTACAATATAAGGTAAAACATTTTTTTAAAGGAAAATTGTTTTCAGTTCTCTAAAACTTGAAAAGAATAGTAAGAGAGAATCAAAATTAGAAGATACTGTGTGCTCAGCTAAAAGGCAAAGCTTCTATATCCGGGTTCCCAAGTGACAGGAAAACTGGGTTCTGCAACAGTGAGAAAGGCCTTAAAGACCCCAACATAATCCAAGAAGCCTGTCCAGGGCTTTGGGAAAAATACACTGTGTCCCCTGAAGCTGTACTGCCAGATATTTTTTCTACAATTTTTTTTTAACAAAAATAGTAGTAGTAGTAGCCAAAATCAGAGAACACCCCAGTCAGCCATGTGCTAAGTCGCTGGAGCAGCTGACCAGTATGTGCTGCCTCCTAGTGGACAGAATTGCTACAACACTTGTCTGTCCAGTTTGAGGCCAATGACTAGCCTGGAGATGTCCACAGAAAACACTATCTGTGGGTTAAAATGCCCAGTCAAATGGCCCAACCCTGTGACCTAGGGGTCACACAGATCCAGGAGATGTAGCATCTCTCTCTACAGGAGCACACGCTGGCTGTGAGAAGCTCACATGAGCACCGGAGGAAGACAGTGTCTGTAATGAAGGAGAAGCAGGGCCACCGGTGCTCACACACAGCAAATGATTACAGGAGACCTGTTTCTCATTCACTGCCATGCTTTCTTGGTGTTTTCCCCGGTGCTTCCTAGAAGGATAAATCTCCCTTGATGGGACCAGAATCAGGAGTGGTGGCATTTCTCCACACACTACCAGGAACGAGTCCTTCAGAATGACTGGATGCAGATCAGAGGACACTGCATTCACGTGAGTGTGCACCCAACCCCAGATGGACTGGGAAGCCACACTGCTACACAGGGCTACCAAATGACTGTGACCATCCCCAGGAGTGAGGGAAGTAACTCAAGACAGTAATTTTGATGTCAGGTCCTGAAAAGTTGAGCTGAAAGACAGAAGCAAGTACTGTACAGGACCCCATGACCTACGCATGATGCCCCATGACCTATGGACTCAGCCTGTGACCTATGCATTTGGCCTGTGACTTACACAAAAGGCCCTGTGACCTACATACCGGGTGTCCGTTGAGAGGCTGGAAGTACAGGTTGGTGTCTGTGATGCACACGTGTCCCGGATTCGTTACCAGAGGCGTCACCATCTCAGCTTTGCACTCCATATGCAGCTTCTCAGAAACATTTTGGAACCTGAAAAGATGTTTTGTAGAAAAAGTCAGGAAAGTCGAAACCACTGTGTAAATTTGCCTGCTATGCATCTAAACACTACAACTAATAGAAAAAGGTGGGGATATAAACCGGCTGCTTAACTAAGGTTGACAGTCTTTTAGACGGAATAATGGAAGCATGACGTTTTATTAACAGAAGAGAGTACATCTCACTGAAACAAAATCTCTCCCAAAATGGAACAGTCCTGAAGCTAGTCCTACATCCATGTAACATCCTGCTTTTACAGTTAAGACCTTAGAGCACAGATACCCTCCTGCTATCCCAGCACCGGTGAGGCTGACCCAGGAGCACCCGGAGTTTCAGAGCAGCCTAGGCTACAGAGCAAGACCCTGTCCGCATTTACTGTATCAGGTTTTGAACACATAATTACAATTACTTGAAGGTCAGTTTGATACAAACATACAACCACTTAGAGATGCATTCTCTTATCTTCAAATGTGTAACTTAAAAAAATAAAACATTTCTGATTTGTTAATTTAGAAAGTAGTGCAGAAACAATTAAATTAACAATATTCTAGGGCAATTACTTAGTGAAATAACTGGATTAAAAGTAAATCTCATGTGCTTGGGAGTGTGGCTCAACTCTAGAGTGTATGCTATCACTCAGGAGCCCTGGTTCAGTCCTGAAAGAAATACAGGACACAACACTAGGCCAGTCTTCTCTAGAGAAAATGCTGAACTGTTGAGACCTTGAGACTCTGGCCCAACGATCACAACCAACTGGGGAGTTCAACAAGACTCATGAGTTCTCAGAACCGACAGAAAACCAACAGAGGGTGCAGAGACAGTTGAATGACCTTGACTGCATGAAGGAAAAGAAGAGACCAGCAGGCTATGGCAGGAGGAGGGTGGTCTCACGGGAGGAACGAAGTCTGTAGGCCAGGCCAGCGCCAGAGATAGGGAACCAATTCCATAACCATAGCTGTCAGCCTTAGTGTCTCTCCAGTAAACGTTGGGCACATCAGCAACGCAGTCACTATGGTGTGAACACTGGGAACCACCGACAGCTGAGCGCTATACAAATGCCGCCTCAAGAGCTACCAGAAACAGGAAATATTCACCAAGATCCTGCATACACTGGCTATAAAACAAACTCAAATAAACGCCAAAAAACTGAAGCATAGAACAGAGTTTCTGATCAAATAATCAGCAACTGTATGACAGCTATCCAATCCTCGACTGTGTGAAGAGTAAGCAACATTCTTCTAATCACCTATCGCTTAAAACAAATGGCCAAGTTATTACAAAACAACAAAGAAACCTGGGCTGGAGCACTTTTGAGGGAGGCAGAGAGCACTATTGTGACAAGCCAAAGGGATGCCCACTACTGCAGCCTCGCACACTCACACACACACTCACACGCACACTCACACACACTCACACACACTCACAGTCTCTCTCTCTCTCACACACACGCACACACTCACACACACTCACACACACTCTCTCTCTCTCACACACGCACACACTCACACTTGTTCACACACACATCCACACATTACAAAAACAAAAGACAAACTGGGTGTGTTCCTTCACAATGCTGAGGAGACTGAAGTAAAATGACTGCAAGGTCAAGGCCGGTTTGAGCCGGACAGCAAGACCCTCTCTCAAAATAACAGTGATGTTGGTAATAGTAATTAATAATAATAAACTACATTAAGTACAATCCCTAAGAATACTTTATATTTATCTACCTTTTCCTGTAAGTTAAACAAAAAAATATAAAAAATGAATATCACCAAGCCTCGTTCTTCTGGTAAACACAGGACCACAGAACACATCCCAATCCATTCTATGAGGTCAGCAGAACCTTGCACCAAAACTGCCAGAGAATGACAGAAAATGTCCGGCGTGTGGACAGATGCAAGAGCTTCTGATAAAATGTCCATGAGGCAAGAGAGTGGGCCACACACCGTGATCTTAAATAATATTTTTACATGAATATAAAGTTCATTTAACACTAAAAATCCATATAATTTATAATATTAACAACAAATGAGAAAAATGATGTCCATAAATATATTAAAAAATATTTGACAAAATTCTGTATCTTTTACTTAAAAAAATTCAACAAACTAAAATTAAAACAAGCTTCCTCACTGTGACAATGACTAAGAAAAACCGACAGCCAGCACCATTCCTTAGTGGTAACAGGAAACCATCTTCCCTCAGCATAAAGATGAAGGCAGGGAGTCTGCCCCAAGCTCTTCCTTAACAAAACAGTGTGAGGAGACAGCAAGAAAACAAACAGAAGTCTCCGGGAAACTTCCCTTTTCCAGGAAGGACTGCAAACATGAAAATAGTAGAAATTCTGCTAAAAACCCATGCATGAACTTAGAAGAGGCAGGGTAGAAGGCCAATATTAAAAAGAAAAAGAATGTATTATGTTTCAATACCAGTAACAAACATTTGGAAAAGGAATTTCAGTGGCATCAAGCAAATACCTGGAAATGTACCAAGAAGAGAAAGATGGCAACATCTACACACCAAATCCCCAATCCTGGGGAGAGCTCAGCGCAAATGAAGGAATTTTATAGACTCCTTCATTTTAAAAACCTAAAGCAATTTTAAAATAAAGAATTCTTAGAAAACCTTTGGGTGAACATGAATTTGGAGCTATGTGTCAGAAGATATGACAAGGATGGCAAGGACGTCCTTATTCACACACACCTGAGTACCGGCGGGACTCAGACGTGATGTCCTGCAACTCAGTGTCAACAATCCGAACAACTACACTCAAACATGCAAACACATACACATAATACACAGCGATGTGCCGTGCATGCGTGCAGCCCCCCATCCCCTCTCCAAATTAGTCCCCCAAGTTTCTTATCTACAAGGACACGGAATTTGCACAAGCTGCAGCCCCTCCGCCTGGTGAACTGGCATAGCCAGATGACTTAGAATGGCACAGAGCTGCCTCACTGCACGGCTGTGGGATAGTGACGAGAGAGAAGTCTGAACAGAACAAACACGCATGCCAGAGCAGTGACGTGGATACAGGCACGGCAACATCTAAAGCAAGCTGGAAAAGACATCAACAAACACACGTCATAGGATGTCTGCGCTCTTCCAACTTGACAGAATTCGGACCCTTTCAACATAAAAAGTAGGGAAATATCCTATTTCCTCAATAAGAGGAGAATCTTCAGAAACGTTATGAAAGCTATGCTCACAAGTTTGTGTTCCCTCTTTTGGAAACAGTGCTCATGACCGGAATATTTCATCTCACTCTGCAAAGACGCCTCCCTAAATCCTCAGCATGACATTTCGGGTTCTAGAAAAACAAATTAAAACTTTCAAAGTGAACCACTCTCTAATTTTCTTAATATTTATTTATTTCATTTTAGATGTATGAGTTTTGCCCATATGTATGCCTGTGTATATATGTGCCTGGTGCCCTGGGAGGTTAGATCTCCTAGAACTGGCATTATAGATGGTTGAGTACCACAAAATTTTCAATAGTTACAGGAAGATAAAGGAATACAGATGAATATTGTTCTAATCTGCTGGCCTGGTCTGTCACCAGAGAACCCTGTTCCCTTGAAGAAACAAGCTCCACCTACTTCCGACCTCCCCGGTGTACCCCCTCCTTCTCCTCTTCCCTTTCCCCTCCATAACCCATAAGTAAACTCTTTACCCCAGCTCTCTCTGCATGGCCTGTCTGTCTCCCACTTGACGTGGTCTCCCACCTGCCAGGGGAACCACCAAGGCCTTGGGTGACTCGCCTGGGACAGACCTTGGGTCCTACCTCTTTATAAATGACTAATATGAAATGAAAACATAGGCAAATAGTCCACATCTAAGGCAAGAAAAAAATAAGAAACCAGAATAAAAATAAATAGCAGTATTATTTTCAGAAACTGTATTGCATACTTCATGAAGACAAGAAAATCAATGGAAAAACCATTAGAACAATAAGTATACTCTCTTGGTCCTTGTGGAGAATGACAGGCAAGTAATCAATGTAATTTGAGGCGCCTAAGAAAGATTTGCTCGAACTGACAGCTAAGCTAAAAATCAGAAAGCCCAGTTAGCCAGAACCAAAAGTCAGGAGGGTCCATGTTCCAATCATGAAAAACAAGGGGCTAAGATGAAGGAAGAGCGGAAAGAGAACGAGAGAACAAGAGACAAAGGCCTAGAGGGCAGAGAGCAGGTGACAATCAGGACCTTGCTCCCTCTGCAAGTAGCCAGAGCCCAGAACTCATGAGAGCCAACAGCCACCTGGAGCAGTGAGCAAGCCCCGCCCCAGAAGGAGGCTGTGGCAGCGGGTCCCTGTAACTGCCAACGGCCAAGTGACAGATGTCCTCTACACAGACACAGTTTAGTGGGTCATTAGGTGGGGGCGGAGCAGAGCTAGGCAGGAGACTAGCATGGAGAAGATGGACTCAAGGTGGCTATGGCGCGATGCGGCAAGCCCAGTGGGTAAGACAGGTACGTAGGCTGGAGAGAAGGCAGTTGGGGGACGGACAGGCTTTCTAAGTGGCAGACATCAGGAAGGAGGAGGGCAGCGGAAGCTCTGAGAGTTATCGTTCCTAGGCTGGCTAAGATGAGCAGGTCTGGAATAAGATGATGAAAGTCATGCTGGGGCCAGAACCAAAGTCTCACATGGGTTAGGCAAGAGTTCCCCACACGCCAGCCCACATCCGTTCTGAACAGGCTAAGAGAGGCCTACAGATGGAGTCATTCACTACATTCTAGTCAGAAAACAAAAATCTTACCTGTTTTTGTCAAATGATGTCCTAGCCAAACGTGACTGCAAGATAGCTGTTATCTACGAGGAGAAGCGTTTAAAATTACGGGCATGAGTATAAGTGAGCTCAATAGAAGTTAACTTCCAGTCAAACAGCAGTTGTCCAGCATACTCACCATGGCCGTTTGGTCACCAAGTTTATCAAGACAGGATGCTCTGTGCAGCTACAATGTGATAAACACACAATTAGTTTCCCTGCAGACAGTCGCAGGTATCTCTTTAGAGGCATTGATTGTCTGTCTGTTAGTAACAGCAGGCATCAATTCTGATGTCTGTGGCTTCTCCTATTTAAGTTTCCAAATTCAAGTCAATAGCATATTTCCAAGTGACAGTTGTCTGGGTAAGATGAAATCCCTGTTCCAGGAAGGGAGAGGCATGAGGGAGGCCAGTCTGGGCTACATGAGCCCCTGCCTCAAAACAAAAGTGAAACCAACATGGAGGCTTCCAGCTCAGTCTGCTCTATGCTCTGTGCAGGTGAGACCACCGAATGGCTGGCTTACCTGAAGCAGCGTCTCCACAACATCCTCCACCTTCCCAGAAACCTCCAGTTCAAAGGCATACTCCATCTTTCCCTGGGTGGGTGGGGACAGAAGCAGCAGTCATCCTGCAGCAGTAAGCATCTGCAGAGTGGCCGCCAGCTGTGCGTTGTGACTGTCTTCCCACTGGAATGCTGGGCTTCCCTTCCTTCAAACGAAGGCTCACCTTACACTGTGGGCTCTTCAGAGGTTGAAGTCTCAGTCTTTATCATCCCCCACATCGATTCCTCGTAATAAACTCCTTATATCTAACACTATCTGTCTCAATCTCCCCATGTTCTATTATAATCAGGCCGCGCACACGCACACGTGCATACACACACACACACCAATCCTGACAGTCTGTGTCTCCAGAGAACCCTCACATACATTGATAGATACATGCCTGGCACTTGAAATACAGGTCTGTCCTTCAGACGGTCTCAGCAGGCTCCCCAAGGAAGGGCACCCAGGAGTGCTCTCAACTTGAGAGAAGGGTAGTCTATTGCCCATGGGAGTTTTTGCCAAGATGTAGAGGCAATACCAAAACAAGAGAAAAGTCACAAGGCCAGATGCATTTAGCAGAGAGGAAGGCACACTCACACACAGTGGCCAAGCCCCTGGGCCACTGCACATGTGAGTTTTCCTGACTATAACACTGTCTAAGCAGTTTCTGTTTCATAAGTTGCTGGATAAGATACTGCAGGCTGTCTGCACCTTGAGCTAAGCATGCAGCCTGGATTAACAAGAGAGTGTGGTTTTTCTCATTCACAGAAGCATCCTTATCAGGAGCTGGCTCCACCTCCTAGTCCTACTCGAGTAGGAGTGCACCTTCCCCACACAGTATGCTGCAGTGAAGGACAGCAACACATGTGACTTCAAAGACATGCCTATGCCTCCCTGTAAATCCTCATAACTTCCACCAAATTAAGACTTCATAAAAGTTTGTTGTCAAATATGGGCTAATTTATAAATTAAGTGTCTCTTGAATGCTCTTAAAAATAAATGTTCAGTACTGTTAGGCAAAAAATTCTCAGTGGTACATAGTAAATATGCTTATCAATTTGTACACTCTGACTGCAGTTCCTTCCTTCCTTAAAAAGATGTGTTTATTTTTATGTTATATGTGTAGTTATTTTGTCCACATACATGTCTATGTAGCATGTGTATGCACTGCCTGCAGAGTCCAGAAGAGGACATCAGATCCTCTAGAACCAGAGTTACAAATGTTTTTTAGTGCCATGTATATAACAAATCACAGTGCTCTCAACCCCTGGGCCATTCCTCCATTTCTTTCCCTTCTAATATGATCGCTAAGTTTTTGCTATTAGAACTAAAGGCTGTGGATCCCTTGGGTACTTTTGCAATAAGTGCTAATAAACTTTGAAGTACTCAGTGTTACTTACCATATTTGATTAAAGGTGTTAATAGGACCATAAAAGTCTTACTGCTCAAAAATCGCTGCATAAATGTCCAATAATCTATGAAAAAGTTTACTTACCCGTTCTATCTTATATGGCGCCACAATGTTGTGTTCTTTAATGAAGTACACCTGAGAAAGGCAAGAAACACTGAAGGAACCAAGTTGTCAGTGTGAAGAAGTACCCTAAAGATCTATGAATTCAGTGTCTACACTGTCGCACAAGCTCCAGCTGGAAGGCTTTATGCATGGCTTGGCTTCAGCACACCCCCAGATTGTGAGGAGCTCTTGGCAGCCTGGTGCAGAGCAGCAGGGGCTCAGAACACCCTCAGGGTCTCCTGGCTCCACTCTTGATCCTCCCCTGGTTTCCAGGGCACCCAAATGAGGTCACACACTCTTAGCTGCCCAGTGCTTTCCTCATTTGCTCTTTACTCCACAGCCTTAGCATGCTTCAGAGGCCGCCGTGACTGCCCTGCTCCTAGGCCAGCCTCCTCTGGGTTGAGCTCTGCTGACCCTTCGACCCTCACCTGCTCAACCCGACACTTCATAGTCACAGTGCTCAGCGGCTTTCTCTCTTTCTAACCACGCGGTCTTAAGGAGCACAGAGCACAGCAACATTCCCTAGTGTGCCCAGGGCACTTCTGTCCTGCTCTTCCTTTTCTTCATGACATTTATCACTAACTGACACAGGATGAGAGACTTTCCCCCTCACCATCCATCTCCCCTACTGAACATATGGCTAAAAACTAATATTTGTACATACACACATAACACACACACAAACATGTTATTCCAACAACAACTAAAACTGAAAGCAAAACTTTGTACCAAAACTTTTTCTGAGACTTGGTGAAGCTTAAATAATCCTTGAAAGAGTAGCTTGCCCTGGGTGTCCCTTGATTTTGAATGGGTTTCATCTGAGATCTCCTCCTAAAACTACTAAAGGAGGAAGGATTCTGGGCTGTATTTCTAAATCCAAGTTATTAAGCCTTTACTAAGATGAGCAGTTCTCTAAAGAAAATGTTAATTTTAACTAAAAAAAAAAGTGTCCTTTCCTTCCAAGATAGGGATGCCCTGCACTAAGCTCATGATGTCCTAAGAAGTCACCTGAGGGCACACAGGGCTAGGGATAGTAGCACGGCTCCCCCACAAGCACCAGATGGTCTGTACCTGTTTGCATGTGAGACATTAAATATGAAGTTGAAGATAGTTCCAATTTTTTAACAATTGGAATTATAGGAGGTACTAACCGAAAGTTACTTAATTCAAAATCTCCCAGATAATCAGAGAAATGTCAAGGCATGTTAACCAGTGGTCTGTGAACAAACGGTTCGGTGACTAAGACAGCAGAAGCCGCTCATCCTCCTCCCACCCCTCACACGCTCCAGGTGCTGTCCCGTGCCAGTCTCTGCACCAAGTGCTCAGTGCAGCCACTCTGCCCACAGCTACTGCACTCACTCCTCACAGAGCGTCCCTGGACCTTGACAGTGCACAGAACCAGAGAGCTGCAGGGAGTCCAGGCAACCCCGATAAACACATCCTGAGACAGATGACAAATATGAAGTCAAAAACCAAAAGAACAGAGAAATCCCTCTGCTCTTACTTATTTTTTTAATCTACAAACTAATCAATGATACGCCAGCATTAAAGCTGCATTTTAATTTGTCACGTGATGCTGATACGAACTTGAGTACCACAGTGTGTGCATAAGTGAGGTCAGTGTGTATCTGGGATGAACACTCCTGCCAGGAGAGACTGCCCTTCCAGAGCATTGCTGGGCTGTCAAACAGAAGCCTGAGGTGGCTTTGGTGGCCTGGCACTGGCTTCCCACCTTTAGCGGGGGAGGGGGGAGAGGGGGGCACAGAAAGAACTGCTACACTCAGTGTTTTTCCAGCTTCCCACTGACCCTGAGGACAAACACAATTCTCAGACTTAGTAAACCCGGAGGGTCCAGTGGGAGACTCTTACCCTTTAAAACGTCTGTTTCTCAATGACTAAATTCTCAAGGCATTTAAACATCGATTCCACGTGTTTCCTGCTGAGATCTATGTAAGTGAATAATTTCATCATGCAAAGGAAATCACGCACACTCATGCACAGAAGCCTTCCCCAAGTCTGGAGACGTACGCACTAACAGTTATAGTAAACATGTCTACTAGATGCTCTCACCTGTCTGAAAATGAGTGAAATACCTGAAGATTTTGCCCTGGAATGCAGAAAAAAAAAATCATCAGACATGTAAAATTTTTGTTAAAGTAGAATTAAAAGTGAGAACAACGTACTTTGTAAGGTGTCTGTTGGCTCCATTTTCTGCACGTTTTCCTATTTTCAAACAGTCTCTCAAAGGGATCTGGATAAAATGGAGAGAGGATATTACGAAAAGTAGAGAAGAAGCATGCACACACGCCGTTAGGAATGCAAACACCTTTACCTTAATGATGGGCTGGGAGATCGCATCTGGTTCAAAAATCACTGATTTTGAACATATCTTTAAGGAGCCTCTGGTTTTCCTAGGAGCCAAAAGAAAAAGGATTATTTGGTGGACACCAGGACAATCACAAAAGGTATTTATTTTAAGTAAAATGTGGATGGCCAGGGCGTCAGCTAATAAAAGCCCGGCAACTACAGGGAGTAGCGCAATGGAGAACAGTTGTGCCCCTTAGCTCCTCTCGGGGGCTGGGGAACCCGCACCGGCTGAGGCTGTGGCTTCGTTTGTTAACTGCGGCCCCATGACCTCATTAATTATTATTATCATCAGAGTTTTCACAATTGCTCTCCAGAGAAACTAAAGCGCAGAAACACTGACAATGCTAAATCTGTGAAGTTTCCAGCAAATTTCATTGTCTCTTCATCCTCTGAATATGGAAGAATTACTCAGAAAACACCAATAAATTGGTACAACTAATTAAAGACTTTTTTGCTTTTTAAAATCATGGAAAAATTAAGTTTGAATTTTACATACAAAATACCATAAACAATGATTTAAGTATTCATGGGAAAACTCCATTTCATGAAAATAAGCAGTTTTAAAGACTATGTGATGTGATATCATATAATCAGATAAGGGGCTGACCACTTCATTAGCTTCCTAGGATAGTCATATGGCTTTACTAAATTTTGGAAAATAACATGCTCAAATATCTTAGAGGCTGTTCTTAATTTGACCCAATATTCATCACCTTTCTCTTATCAATTGACTTTTATCAGTGATTAAACCAAGACAACAGCTTACTATGAAGTCACACACATGTAAGGGGAAAGTGACTGTACTTATGAAAAATTAAAGTAATTTCCAAGAAGCACATTTATATACAAGTATAATTTGTATGATTTCATATCTTTTTCTCCCATTTTTTATGAATATGTCTATGTGTGTCCATGCCTGCTGATGTCCTTCTGCATATGTGTTGCTTTATTGATTGATGAATAAAGCTATTTTGGCCAATGGCTTAGCAGAGTAAAGCCAGGCAGGAAATCCAAACATACATACACACACACACACACACACACACACACACACACACACACACATATATATATATATATATATATGGAGAGAGAGAGAGAGAGAGAGAGAGAGAGAAGACGGAGTCAAGGAGATGCCATGTAGCTGCCAAAGTAGACAGATGCCAGAACCTTACCCAGTCAGCCACAGCCTTGTGACAATACACAGATTTTTGAAATAAGTTAATTTAAGACGTAAGAGCTAGCCAATAAAAAGCCTGAGCTAATAGTGTTGTAATTAATATAGTGTCTGTGTTATTATTCGAGTCTGGGTGGCAGTGAAATGAATGAGCAGCCTTTGCTCACAGCGCATTTGTGGGCCATGGGTGATGCTGGAATCAGCCTCCATCTTCTGTGGCAGGATTTCCCAGTCACGCCCAGAGCTCATGGAAGTGGCTGGTTTCATTAGCCAACTTGCTCTGGGAAAGGCCTGTCTTCTGTCTTCCGAGGCTGGAATTACAGGCAGACTGCCTTGCCAGCCTGAGTTCTACATAGTTGGTGGGGGTGGGGGGTGGCCCTCTAGTCCTCATGAGTACACAAAGAGCTCTTTAACCACTGAGTCATCTTCCTAGCCCTTGTTTGGTATCTGGGTGAAGTTTCTTACCTTGTCCACCCAGGGATCTTGGGCTACCCTGCTCTAACTGAGGTGACTGCAGCTGACCCTGTATATCTAAGGTTCTGTCTCCATAATTAACCAACTCATATTAGTTTTTAATTTAATAAAGTTCCAAAAACAAAACTAGGATTTGCTATGCATCAAGCACTATGCCGAATGGAAAGGGATGAAGCGCTATGTAGGTGCCCTGTTCAGGACTGGACATAGTCACAGTGTTAAGTAAACAGGAAGAAGCCTGGAAGGCGCATCCTCATACTATAGCACTTTTTGAAAGGGATCTGAATCATTCAAGGACTTGGGTATCTCTGAGAATCTAAGGAGGAAAAAAAATCTGTGAGTCTATGTTTCTATATAACTTAGAAATCCAAAGTGTCAAAATCAACAACAACAATAAAAAAGACAAAACCTCACACTGAGATATACAGTCGAAAAGTTGAGAATGGCCTCCCAGTCCCAGAGGAAACTCTCCTCTTTGTGGGAAGAAGTGATTGCTGGAGCTTTCTGGTCATCATTACTACTCAATATATGCACCCACTGTACAGAAGGTCAGAATTCAGTTCACAGCTCTCCTTTCTCAAAGGGTTTTGAAAATGTACATTTTTTCATGCTGCTAAGTGCATTTACTTTTAATATCCAAAGTTACCAACAGCTAGATTTTTTTTTAATCGAATGAAACTTCTAAGTATAAGCATCTAGAATAGAAAGTGCCCATATGCCCATCACCCAGCTTTAGCACTGGTCATTTTTGCTTCCACTGCTTCTTATATCAGCCCCTCCTAAACCCAGCTGGTCCACGTAAGGAGCTCTGAAGAAGCACTCATTTAATAAGGGCTCTATCATTACCACACTTAAAGAACTCCTTAAGTTCTCCAAGTAGACTGTGTTCAAAAACTTTCCATTTCATAAATGTATTTTCACAGTTTGTTTACTCAAATCAAAATCCAAAGAGTCCATATAACACCTGATTCATATAATGTACTCCTCATTCCTGCTAATCTACAATTATTTTCCCACATGACTTTTTTGTTTTTCCTTTTCCAATACTTGGCTAGAACTCATGTTCTCTTTGACATTCCAGACAAGAGCCCAACCTCCCAGCCTATAAATGCCGCTTACTGCATCTGTGTGACAGACACCCCTCTACCATGTCCTCCTTTGTATCAACCATGAGATTAGATCAGATTTTCTGGCACCCTCTAACAGTACTTCAGGGGAGGTGCAGGGAGTGCTCACTCCAGTGGGAACCGCGGGGGACTGAAGGTGGTATTAATCTTCACATGCCCATTACAAACCTTCTTGGTACCCCTCACCTGAGGACTTTAGCAGCCCTTGAAGATTACGACACACATACAATTATGGTGAATAGTCTCTATGAATGTGTGTTTGCAGATCATGCACTCTCTGTCACAACTGTCACAGGGTGATCAAACAAGGGACACAGATAGTGGTGGCTGCTCCCAAACAAGTGGTCATACCAGTAAAGCAGGTGGCCACTCAGATTTGGTCCAAAGGCCGTGTAGTTGCTGACCCCTTATACAGAGCCATTGCTCCATCATGGGTTTAAATTCTGTTACTCCATTATACATACAAGCTAGAATTTTTCAACTAAGAATAACTTCACATTAATCAGTACTTTAGTGGCACTGAAGCACAACCTGTACAAGGAAAACAAAAATTCAAAGACAAATTATGCTTTGATTTGTAGCTTTCAAAAAAAAAAAAAAATCGACCCAAGCAGCTGGATCTGTTTTCAAACAAGTGAGTAGTTACGGAGGAAGCAGATTTTGCCCTGGTTCCCACTGCATTATTTATTACTTCATCCTCACTGCTCCATGGCTTCCAATCATGACTTCACTGCATCACCCTGCAGAGACCGGGAGCAGGGAGCACAGGGACAAAGCAATGACTAGAGGGAGTCCTGGTTGGCAGCCTCAGGAGCTGGAACCCCACAAGGCATGCCACCATCTCATTACCTAACTACAGAGAGGGAAGAGGGACGCCTAGGCAGTCCTGAGTGGACTCTGAGAGCCCACTAGTGCCCAGCACTGTGCGAGCTGACTCACCTCTCCTCGTGGCTGTCCTGGCTCTGGACGTGGAAAGCCGTATGCTGCTCAAAGTAGTACTCCTCCAAATTGAGCAGCAGCAAGGAGAACCTGAACGGGAAAAGAAGACAGCTTCGTGTTGCATCTGGTCTACAGAGGTGTTTAACATGCCTGCTCCACACCCTAGGCGGCCCTCTGGGAAGCCCACACTTGTCTCTCCCGTGCCCCAAATGGAATCCTTCCCAACACAGATGCACTGTTCGCACACACACAACAGTATCAAACTGTGGGAAATTAAGTTTATGACAGCCTTGCTCTCCTCCCCATGGGAATGCTCATGTCAGTGTCCGATGATGGTGCACGCCAGGCTTCTGCCCCTACCCTGCCATAACCCTGAGACCCACACTGACTTCAGTTCTTATGACTCCCACAAGCCAATGAGCTCTAGAGACAGGTGCACAGATGGCTACACCCAAGCTAATGTTTAAGACCATGCATGTTCAATAAGTAAAACAAATATATTGAGTTGTATAGTCCCTTCAGTTTGAATTGCTTTGTGCTTTAAAAGTACAATGGCAGAAATACGGTGGTGAGGAGACGTGGGTAAAGGGGATTGCTGCTCAAGCCTGACGGCCTGAGTATCCCTGGAACCCTGGAGGAAGGAAAGGACTGACTCCCGCACAGACCCCCACGCGTGCACCATGGAAAGTGCATGGCCACAGCCACTCCACAACTGTTCCCAAGAGTGGGTCCACAGAGTGTACTGGTCAGGATCTAAGTTACACACGTAAATCTGTTGGCACTTGGGTGGCACTGTGCATGCCACAGGAAAGCCCACTGTGCGGGATGAACACCCAGACCACCCTCAGAGTAAGTCCGACACCACTAGACAACCGGCTGAACAAATTAGCCCTTGAGATCTGAAATAAGGAAGAGATTGAGAAAACAGGCACACAAACAAGGAAGATTATAGTCTGGTGACGTCACAGCTGCAAACACCATCCCCCCCACCCCCAAGCCCCACTTAAGCAGAGTCTGAAGAGAGTTGCAGGGGCGGAAAGAGCAAAGCCTGCCCTTGTCCATCATGACAGCCACGCTTCTCGAAGGCAGGCTCATCAGAGACAGAATTAACAAAATCATGTAAATCTTTGCAAGACAGGAGGGCATGCCAATGGCCCTGGGAAAACTTCCTCCCTTCTCTGTTAAAGTCCCTGAGACACAAAGCAGACAGCTGTGTGGAAAAGTAAATGACAGAAGGTGCTAGATTGGAGAGTCGCTCAACAACAGTCTGCTGAGTCCTCTTGGCTTCTGAGTACAGTCAGAAGCCCTCACAATGAAGGGCTTCAAGAGAGGAAGAGAAATTGACCTCTAGTTTCTGTGGTTGGTTAAGGCAGAGGTTCTCTGGGTTCTGTGGGACAGTTGGGGAAGGAGTTCATGGCTCACTTCAGCGGAGAAGGGGGGCAGGAGCAGGAGGTCAGGTACCTTACTCCTGAGACCTTTTCAGCTATTTAGTTCAAAGCACTCCGCAGGCCAGGACCATACTCTGGAGGACTCTTTCAGACTCAACAGTCACTTACATTAGAGGCCACCTAACTACATGAACATCCGTCTCCCCATGTTAACTCTGTTCACACATAAAAAAGTTAAAAACAAACAACGAAACAAACATTTCATCCTCTCGCCAAGTGAAGGGGACTAAACTCTGCTTCATTTTCTACTTTCCAATCAGATTCGGGAGCAGGGCAGGACTTCACTGTAATTCATGCTGGAGATGGTGGCAACTTCCTCCTTCTGAGGTCTCTGAACCTTCTGTCCCGCCAGCACTCACACCAGCTAGTACGCGCATGCTCCTTCAGCACCTCTGACTTCCCAGGTCACCAGACAACCGCAACCCTGCACACGAGCTTGCCTAGCATTTTTATGCCAGCAGACACCTGTGTCCGCTTTGTCTTCACACAGCTCGTGAAATTCTTTCTCTTCTAGACGAAGGCCATTGTCATGAGGGGAATACACAAAAAGCGTCACTTTCTCAAGTCCATGTGGTCCTACTAGCAGCTACATATGTCCTCATTTCAAACACAACTTCAGAAATTTTGTTTTGTTCTCTTAACCTACAGCATTTTTCAAAGCTTCCGTTCAAGGGAGGCTCCAATTTTCTTGAAGCCAGTTATAGCTTCTGGACTCAGATCTGGAGAACAACGTGGAGAAACACTGCTAAACAACCATCTGTGTTTGCTTGCCCTGCCTTCTGCAACTGCGCAGGAAAGGCAATTTGGACAAGAAATCTAAATTATATTTTTAATGGTAGTATTACTTCTTGCGTGAAAATGTTTTCCAGAACAGTCCAGTAAAAATGACTATATATTTTTTTTTTTTACTTGAAAGCTTTGAAACTGCTTTCTTTAAAAATCTTGGCTTTCGTTAAGGCTGCAGCCTCAATTCCTTCGGCTCTTTCTGAGTTTCTTTACTGAACTTGGTTTATGAATGTCTCGTTAATGTTCAGAATCAAGTAAACGTCCCAAGCTCTCTGCATTAGGATAAATGAAAACTTTAAGAAGGGAAGTGGGGAGCTGTAATTAGCTCAACTACACTTCTCTGTTGGCATTTGTCACTGTTGCCACTTCCTGTTTTCTACACCAGGTACGCATCTGTCACTTTTTCCCCTGTCCCTTGAGGGGGACCTGCAATGAAAGAATGCAAGTGTGTTATCTCTGTTCCTCTTTCCATAAGGTCCTCACTGTGTGGGCCCCACCTACTCTGGTCCTGAATTCCACAAACCAATAGGAATTTTTGCATCTTCTTGGCATTTACAACTCTCTAGCAGGCTGACACTTCTGCATAAATCTGCAGCTCTCAGCAATGGATTCTGAAATCAAGCCCCACCTAAACACATTAAGGCTTGTAGTAGTTCCCTTCCTTTGCTATGATAAATAACATGACCAATACCAGCTTAGGGAGGAAAGTCCTTACTTCTGCTTTTTTCCCCAAGGGTAGCCTAAGACCATCAGAAAACACAAATATTTATATTACAGTTCTTAACTGTAGCAAAATTGCAGTTATGAAGTAGCAATGAAATTAATTTCATGGTTGGAGGACACAGCATGAGGAACTGTATTAAAAGGCCACAGAGTTAGGAAGGTTGAGGACCCCTGCTGTAGAGACACCAAGGTAGAAACTCAAGGCAGTAACCTGGAGGCAGGACCTGAAGAACCCTCTGGCAGGAACTGCTTACTGGCTTGCCTCCCTGTTCATGTAAAACTACCCAGAACCACCTGCTCAGGAGAACGCCTCCCACAATGTGTAGGACCCCCTCCAGAAATCAAGAAAATGCCCTCACAGACAGCTCACAGACCCATCTGAGGGAGGCAGTTCGTCACCTGAGGTCCCCTCTTCCCAGGTGTCTAGTTATTATCAAGTTAGCCGTAGTCTACAAATTTGCATAGAAATATCCGAGAGATAAAGAGTCTGTCTAGTTCCTGTACCCATTGGCTCATGTACATTAATGGTCCCTAACCTCTGCATATTTACGAAATTTCACTATTTCAGCCGACTTTTGTAGCCAGTCCCTGCCACAGCATGTCTAAGGCTCCAACACTAAGCCCAGCTTAAGAAACAATACTCTCTTCTCAGTGGGTGAGATCATTACTTATGGACCCAGCTCAGCCACCAAAACCCTTTCTGTTGGCACTACCTATAAAGCCTGGGGCTTCTAATTCCAAGTCTCCACGATCTACAGTGATGAAGGCAGAAACATGACTGATGCTCTTAATAGTCCTTCTGCTCCCTCACTCCATCACTCATCAAGAGTCACAGCCCAATGGGTGGGTGAGCAGCTCAGTGGTGAGGTGCTGACCCAGCACATTCAGCCCTAGATGGAATCTGCAGTCAACACACAAAGCCATGGCCCAGGGAGCCGTGGGGACCCGAGAGAGGCAAAGGAGTCTTTGGAAAGAAGCACCAAAAGGACAGAAGAAAGCAGGGAGGCATCACTGACATTCTCTTGAGTTCTCTGCCTTGCATGTGTACACAATCATCTAAGAGGCTGTGAAAACAAGCTTCTAATGTGGACCCAGGACGAGCTCCAGGCATGCTCATGCTGATGACCCACGGGGTGCAGTCAGATTAAGATTTCAGGATCATAAAAACTAGGCTTCCTTCTGTCACGCCAGAATCATCTTAAACTTCAAGAACTTAACAGTAAGTGCTACCTAGCCGTTCACATGCCTTGTACTGAAAACAAGATGAGTAAGTCACCGTGGACAAAGGCTGAACTTGGCCCAAGAACTCAGTGCTAGGGCTAGTTTGCACTCAGTCATGGTGTGTTAGTTTTGTCTTGTGACTTGCAGTTTCACAGACGTCAGTCTATCCTGGCAGGAAGGCAGCAGCAGCTAAAGTCAATGTCTCAGGACACAGAGAGAGCTGCCTGTCTTAACAGGCTCCTTCCTTTTCCCTTGTCCATCGCATTGTAGCCATTACATTCTGATGTTTCTTGTCCTCTGTTAATCTTCTCTGGAAATGTCTTCAGACACACTTAGAGGTGTGTCCACAGGTGCTTCCCAATGCAACCAAGGTGACAAAATTAGCCATCACACGTGACCAAGCTATGCGATCTTGTCAAGTCATTTACTTAGTTACTTAAGTTCAACTACAAGATGCAGTGGAAATATTGAATAGACGACCTTGGAAAACAGACCAAAAAAAAAAAATCTGAGTGTAAAGAAATCAACAGGGCTACCTAGTGGCAGCAACCACCACAGAAAGGAGACCTCCTTAGCTTCCAGAGAGGACATTCTGCTTATCAACAACAATTCAGTAGCAGCAGTACTGGCTGGTTGTAGATGAAAAGGTGGTACCCTGTGAAGTTGCCCGGAATCTGGCTACAGAGATTTGCATTTAAGGTCATCAATCCTGGTTGTCCACAGCTCCCAAATGATGCCAGGGAACATGGTCATGTCTCCTAACTCTGGACAGGGATACCACAAATCCTGCCAGATCTTACAGATTTTGTTAGTTCCCTGTCAAGCCAGTGGGGGAGGACAACCTTAAGCACAAATTCTGGGCTGCCCACAAGTAAGGAGCAGAACCTACTGTGTTTTGTCAACTGCTCATTC